ATAGAGCCCCACCCTAACACCAGAACCCTTGACCCAGACGCCCTTACTCATCATAACTAGGAACAGAGAAGAGTTTTAAAGAAAAATGCAATTTCACTATATAATCAATAGAGCCCCCCTCCCACAGAACCCCTCACAGGGGGGCCCACAAATTTTAAAGTTATGGAAGAAGCACCATTGATCATCATAACCATGCACTTAGTGTATCTTCCTTATATACAGGGGGAGAAAAGAAAATTTTTTAAAGAATTTATGCATTTTCACTATATGATCAATAGAGCCCCGCCCTAACACCAGGACCCCTGACCCAGGGGCCATGAAATTCACAATTTTGGGAGAGGCACCCTTCTTCATCATAACTATGTATGTAGTGCATCAGCTTAATGCCCAGGAGCAGAGAAAAAGATTTTCATAGAAATAATGCACTTCACTATATAATCAATAGAGCCCTCCCCACCCCTTCCACAAAACCCCTTACCCTGGGGCCAAAAATTTCAAATTTTCGAAGAGGCACCTTGATCATCATAACCATGCACCTAGTTTATCGTCTTTAAATACATAGGGAGAGAAAATTAATTTTTTAAGAAATTACATTTTTCACTATAGGATCAATAGAGCCCCACCTTAACACCAGAACCCCTGATCCAGGAGCCATTAAATTCACAATTTGGGAAGAGGCACCATTCTTCATCATAACTATGTACTTACTACATCGGCTTCATGCCCAGGAGCATAGGAGGAGATTTTCAAATAAATAATGCATTTTCACTATATAATCATTACAGCCCCTCCCTAACACCAGAACCCCTGACCCAGGGGCCATAAAATTCACATTTTTGGACGGGGTTCCCCTCCTTATCATTAATATGTACTTAGTTCACCAGCCCAATACCAAGGAGCAGAGGAGAAGATTTTCAAAGCATTAATGCATTTTCACTGTATAATAAATTTTGGAAGAAGCACCCTTCCTCATGTTAACTATGCATTTAGTTTGTTTGCTTAATACCCAAGAGCAGTGGAAAAGACTTTTTAAGAAACAATGCATTTTCACTATATATTCAACAGAGCCCCGCCCTAGCACCAGAACCCCTGACCCTGGGGTCATGAATTTCAAAATTTTGATAGAGGGCTCAATGCTTATTACAATCACACCAACAGTTTGACTGCTTGGTGTCAAGGAGTAAAGAAGAAGATTTTTAAAGATTGCATTAATTTTAGTGGTTTTGGCCCCATCCCTCAGGCTCCAGGGGGAAAGGGACCATGATATTCACAACTTTTGTTCCCCTTCACCCATAGATGCTATATACCAAAATTGGTTGAAATCAGTTGAGCAGTTTCAGAGAAGAAGCTGAAAATGTTCAAATGTTAATGCACAATGCATGATGACAGATGAAAGCAGATAGCAATAGGTCACCTGAGTAAACTCAGGTGGCCTAAAAATCGGCTCAAAAATCTTTTAACATAGGATGTCAATAGAATTACATATCACATAAACCCTCTGATCACTCATATAAAATGTTGCTTTAACTTTTATGATTTTCCGAAAGAAATGTGTTTTATATGTAAAATACAAACAATTATATCATAGCTTGCGGGGCGAAATTAAACAAAGACATTTCAACTTGAAAAATCTATTAAGGAATAATGAACATTTATGGCATTAAGAGTTATCTCTCTTATCAGGGTATCGATGAACCTTAAAACGAGGAATGAGGAATAAGGTCAAGGTCATAATAAAGTTCAAGTTGGAAAAACATTAAACAGTTGATTTGCAATCACACAATTTTGTATCAAGGAATAAAGTTTGATGAAAACATTTTGAAAGGTTTAGTTGAATCTGAGGTGGAACGGGTGCGTATCATTACCGCCACATTTTCAAAATTGTCATTACCGCTACATACTCAATACCAGTACAAAAAAGGTTACATTACTGCCACATTTAAACAAGAGGCCCAAGGTCCTTAACGGTCACCTGAGTACATGTATAATACAACACTAAAGGATCCATGGAAGTATAAAACAAAATTAACTGATAGACGAAGCAAAGTTGCCCAAGAATTTCAAACATAGGTAATCAAAGATTATGAAGCTCACCTCGACAAATGTTATCTGTAAGTAAGGCAAATCTCACATAATATTTTTTTCTAGTTAGTGTACATCCCAAGATCAATATCCATGCAAGTTTGGTTTAAGTAGGACTTATAGTTACTTGGAAAAAGACCTGCTCCAAAAACTTTAACCTGGTCACTCATCTGGAAAATCTAGGTCAGATCCAGCATCCGAAGCAAGTGTGGTAGTGTCCATCCCTAGATGCATCATCCAAGTTTGGTTCAAGTAGGGCTTATAGCTACTTGGGAGTGGACTTGCTCCTAAAACTTTAACCGGGACGCCAACGTTGGGGGTATAGCATGAGCACATCTCGACTTCGTCAAAGTGAGCTAAAAATCTGGTAAAAATACCCTTGCTTATTGTAATGTGCTAGAACCATTTGATCTCCTTTGGATCATACTTGGTTTTCCCAAGTCTTACAGGGATGATAATGAATGCAAAATATACAAATACAAAGAACACTTGCCTACTGTGTAAGGTATTCAATATATACAGATATTTTTTTGTCACTTGCCTAGTGCTACAATTCAGTACACACAGACTTGGGTACACACCATGGCTATTTTTCACTTGTCACTAATTACAATAAGTCACCCTGGCTCTCTGTGATTCTTTGTTCACTTTGATAAAGTATAAAACAACATCCAGTCTCATGTCAACCACAACTCCTCTACAAGTGACACTAACTTAGATCACCACAGAGCATACATACAGTGTACAATTACAACTTTTACTAAATATATAAATAATCTTTATGTCAATCTTTTATATTGCTTTCCAGGCAAGAATCTGACTTTGAGCATACTTTGCTCATTTAAACCAAACATTCATTTTTATTTTGTTTCTATATAACATTCTTTCTTGTATTCTCATTCAATCAAATAACCTGTTAATTAAATTATATACAAGGATTTCTTGATTAACAATATTTAGCAAAGGGGAATAACTCTCATTTGCTTCACATCACAATTGTGTACTCTGCCTCCTAGATACCCACAAGCAAAGAAAAAGCACATTTACTTATAATTAAATTTAATACATGTATTTACATTGATATTATTGCATTTAGCTTGTTTGCTTAGTACTCAGGGGCAGAGGAGAAGTCTTTCAAAGCATTCATGCATTTTGCTAATTAATCAATAGAACCCCACCCAAGCTCAGGAACACCTGACCCAGGGGCCATGAAATTCAAAATTTTGGAAGAGGCATCCTTTCTCATCATAACTCAGATTTTCAAAGCATTAATTTATTTTCAGTATATAATAAATAAGCCCCCCCCCCCCAACATGGAACCCCTGACCAAGGGGCCATGAAATTCACAATTTTGGAAGAGGCACTCTAGCTCTTCATAACTATGCACTTAGTTCATCAGCTCAATACCCAGGAGCAGAGAAGATTTTCAAAGCATTAATTTATTTTCACTATATAGAAAAAAAGCCCCCCCCCCACATGGAACCCCTCACCAAGAGGGGCCATGAAATTCACAATTTCGGAAGAGACACTCTTGCTCATCATAACTATGTACTTAATTCATCGGCTTAATACCCAGGAGCAGAGAAGAAGATTTTCAAAGAATTACCTGGTAATGCATTTTCACTATATAATCATTAGAGCCCCACCCTAACACCAGAACCCCTGACCCTGGGGCCATGAAATTCACAATTTTGGAAGAGGCACTCTTGCTCATCATAACTATGTACTTAATTCATCGGCTTAATACCCAGGAGCAGAGGAGAAGATTTTTAAAGAATTAATGCATTTTCACTATATATTCATTAGAGCCCCGCCCTAACACCAGAACCCCTGACCCAGGGGCCATGAAATTCACAATTTTGGAAGAGGCACTCTTGCTCATCATAACTATGTACTTAATTCATCGGCTTAATACCCAGGAGCAGAGGAGAAGATTTTTAAAGAATTAATGCATTTTCACTATATAATCATTAGAGCCCTGCCCTAGCACCAGAACCCCTGACCCTGGGGCCATGAATTTCAAAATTTTGGTAGAGGGCTCAATGCTTATAACAATCATGCCAACAGTTTGACTGCTTGATGTCCAGGAGTAAAGAAGAAGATTTTTAAAGATTGTATTAATTTTGATGGTTTTAGCCCCACCCCTCAGGCCCCAGGGGGGCAGGGGCCATGAATTTGACAATTTTTACTCCCCTTCACCCATAGATGCTATATGCCAAAATTGGTTGAAATTGGTTCAGTGGTTCCAGAGAAGAAGCTAAAAATGTTCAAAAGTTTACGACCGATTGACGACGAACGACGTACGACGACAGACAAAAACAGATAGCAATAGGTCACCTGAGTGACTCAGGTGACCTAAAAAGTACAGTGTATACATTACCGCCACATTGCCTCTTTCATAGCCAGTGGCTTATGCATGTACAGATTGATTTAAAGTACAACATGTACATGCATAGGAGCTGTTCCCCTGCTCACCATGGGAAGGTGAAAGAGGGTTTTGAGCAGGATGTTTTTTATTTTTTGTTTAATAATTAAAATCTATTTTATATATTAAAACATTTCAGAAAATATTAATCACAAATCCTGCATTGCTGCGATTTTTAACAAACTTCTCAATAGTAGCACTTTCAACTGACGCTAAATAATAATTATTTTATTTCGATTACAGACTTAATGATTATATTGATTAGAACTCAGGTCCAAATTCCAAGTTACTGCATTGTGGATGAACTATTTTGAAGAAAACTCGTGTTCTGTGTCATTGCTGGTAGATTCAATACGTAGCGGTAATGAATTGTAATCGGCAAAAGTCTTTTTGATAAAATGTTTCTATTTATTATGGATGTTAGGGCGTACAGGCACATGCCAGTATTTCATCACAATTTAGAGATTCAAATAAGAAAAATATGCACGAAGTGTAACATTCACATACTTTAATTCAAAGCAATATTTACATGGCATTTACATTAATCAAAGACTTATCTACATTGTACACATGTAACTGTACATTATCACAGTTCATCAAATTTGTTTAGCAGAATTGCTTACAAACATTAAAGGTGTAGTCACCAACTTGAAAGTGGGGTTGGGGGCTGTCTTAGTAAATGTGTACATGTATCCAAGTTTTGGGGACAAAATCTTTGACAAACAAGAAACAAAAGCCTATGGGCCACAATGCTCTCCAGAGTAACCTTAGCTCTTGTTCTTCAGTTTTTATAAAAGTTTTGAATTGTTTCCCTACTTTTTCCCATGAAATATTTGACCCCACCCTAGCTACAAGGGGTAAGGACTTAACCAAATTTGATCCACACAACACAGGGATGTTTTAATATCAATATAACTTAAAAGACCTTGCTGTCAAAGAGAGATTTATACATGCATTATACAAAATTTGACCCCTGATTTTGACCCCATCCTAACCCCCAGGTATATAATTTTTTTAAAAAATCCACACAACTTGGAAATATTTAAATATTACCATGATTACATATGGCTTTGCAAATACATTTTTTTTTTATTTCCAAGACATGCCAGTGTAAATCTTGATCCCATCTTATGGTTTCATCCTATCCACAGGGGAAATGTTTTAAAGGGTTTTGAATCTGAATTACCTGAGAATGCATACATGATCATAATATGACTCCTCATTGTACTGCTGTTCTTAAAAAGAATTTTAAAAAGATTTTTCCTTGTATATCCCCATGTAAAACTTTAATCCCCTATTGAAGCCCTACCCTACCCCAATGTTTTGAATACTTTTTAATCTATACTTACTAGTAACTTAGTAAGGAAGATTACACACCAGTTTCATAATTCTTGAGAAGATATTCATAAAATTTTTCACTACTTTTTAATTATTTCCCTTTGAAAGAAAGTGGAGAGCTTCTTTAAATAGTCTGAATCCCCTTCACCCAAGAATGTTTATGGCAAGTTTTTTTTTTTAAATTGGCCCAGCGTTTCTAGAGAAAAGTAAAAAATATGTAAGCCTTAAAGACAGATGCTGAACAATGGATGACCAGAAAAGCTTACTTGAACTTAAAACTAGGTGAGCTAAGTATGGTCATTTAACAATTCAACACTTTGAGAACTGCTAGTTATTCTACACTAAAACTTCGACCATAAAAGTAAAGGGAGAGGTAGGGGGACAAAGGAAATTCCGTCTTCCAGCTTAGTGACAAAATATGTCAAGCAAAATTAAGAGGCTCCCAGGAGTCAAAATTCCTTGCCTGGCTGTAGCCAATAAAAAAACTCTAATACTTGTCTGTATTAAGAACCAAAATTTACAAAACTTTTATTCCAAACTGGAGGAATAGCAACAGAATTTTCTAAATACCCGTGGTATGCAGATTTTGTCTACTTGGCCATTTCTGTTTGAACATTTTTCAATCTATCATATACTGAAACGCAAAAGAAATGGAACATCCTATTTTATGGGGAAATATTAAATATAGGATATAATTTTGTATCTAAAAAGTAAGGAGATCTTCAACTTTGTAAATATCGGTAATTTAACGGTTGAATGATTTTCATACCGTTGCCGGAAGTTAAGTTTGAGTCCGCTTAACAGAAATAAAAAATTGCATGTTTAACAAAACATTTGGCAATAATATGGGGTTTTAAGGATTTGTATCTGTTCATCATAAGTAATGCAGCAATGTTTCGAAAAATTAATTCTCCTTTCTTTTCCGTAAGCGATGCCAAGGCTTCCTAAAAATGACTCAAGTGCTATTTCTATTGCTCTAGCTGGAAAATCTCAAAATAGAGGTGATGGAGAGTTGCAGATGCAAATATGCACCACATCATGCCTCAACAGGCTCTTACGTATCACTAGCATAAATGACAGTCCTTGGACCGGAAGTCCAAGGGTTACTACACTGCCCTTGGCTAGAGAAAATTCGATCTCATCATCTGAAAAACAGGCATTTAAAAAAGGCAAGGAATATTTCTTTCGCTCAGATCTCGAGATTGATGAACCTATTGCATTGTAGAAATTAAGCTGCAACTGATGCACATGGCAGTCTTGCACGCTGTAATTGAATGGCCGGGGTGGGGGAAGTTCTAACATTCATGTGTTACTTTCTAAAGTTAAAAGATAATCATTTAACATTTTTATCAAATCTTTGATGTGTTTAAATCGAGTTTTACCTTACTGTATTCATTTTTGAAAATCATTAGATAAAAAATTCAAATATTTGTAGATTACTGTTTGTTGTGTTTCTTTTGCATTTCAGTATATAATTTTCAAATAAATAATCTAACCAAATACCACACAAATCACTAACTTATTTCCAGAGGCTATAACAATAACACTTAGGATCAAACACTAATGAAAAACTTTTTATATAACCATTTGATTTTGTTATTATGTTGTACAACTCCAACAGCTTTCAATAAGTCAAAAACTGGCAGAACCATCAGAATTTAACATTTCAGGGGCCATAACTCCTACATGGGTGGATTAATCATTATGGAACTTGCTAAGTACACTAGATCTTGCCATTTTAATTATTTAACCCTTGTTAGATTTTGTCTGTCTGGTTTTATTTCTTAGTTATTATAATAAACTATACGAGTCATAGTGCCACAAATGCCCCTGGAGGCAGCCAAAACTTCAAATGCCATATTTAGTTTTAAATTTGTATTCGAACTTGACCTGTATTTTCTGGTATAATACCTGCATATGCAATTTCAACCTTATACATACATCCCTTCAAAAGTTAGTGGAAACTGAACATTTCTTACTTTTTCTAAGTTCAAACAGGATAACTCTGTCAAAAATCATCAGACCATGACTAAATACAAACTTGACCTATATTTTCTGGAAAAATACCTGCACATGCAATTTCAACTGAATACATACTTACATCCTAGAAAAGTAAAATGAGAGCAGAAACTGAAAATGTCTTCTTTTTTTCCGAAGTTCAAGAGAAATTACTCTGTCAAAAATCATCGAACCATGGCCAAATTCGAACCTGACCTGTGTATTCCTTTGACGTATCCATGTCAAATTTGAGTTGAATGTGTGCAACTGTTGCTGAGATAATGAATGGAAAGTCAATGATGACAGAATGAGGGAACAGGTAACACTATATGCCCCGGCCATTTTATGGCTGGGGCATAAAAATATGTATTGCACATGGATACTTTTGCCCCCACCACTTTCAAAGATGGGGAGGGGGGCACATAAATTTGACCCCTTGACTACACATATGTCTACACCTTCAAAGCAAAACATATGAACCTTGCTTACTACATGTAATACATATGCAATAAATTAATCATAAATCTGTTTAAAAGCTGTCTTCTTTGGAATTCTTTCCTCTTCATTAAGATTCTCTGGAAGAAAAAAAAAAGTTTATGATAATTTTTTTCTGTAGACTCTTGCTTTAGAACCACTGATTGCCAAAAATTATTTTTACAAGAACTTCATGTATCTGTGACCGCGCTCTCGGGTGTCTGGTACACAATTCGGCGGTTCACATTCATTTGGGGAATATAACTCAAGGGTCATGTTCATTAAGGAATATAACTCAAGGGATTGGGGAAAATTGCACACATACATAAGTCCAAATTTGTAAGGTAACAACGACAGTTTATTAAAGTAACAGTGAATTCCAACAACACAAAAACATGAAGATGCAAGTCCAAGTCCTAACTAAAATTTAGATAAAGTTGGCCTAAATAGAAATAGAATCTTAAAAGTTTCTTAGTCTAATTCTCTGCATGGTTCTTAACACATCAACTCACTAGCTCTGTCACTCTGGTTCTCACTCAACTTTGTGTATTCTCCAATATATATATATATATATATATATATATATATTTAACTAATTGTAAGGAATTACTCAATGTAAAATAGCCAAAAGCAGAAACTTGCCAAATAAGTAATCTGAACAATAGACTACTCAAGTGTCATCCTTTGATGTCAGGAAGTCAAAGAAGATTTATTTAATTAATCTAACACCTAATCAGTGACCACTGCCATCAGGCAGTATGAGTGTAAATGATTTACAATTGCTAAGAAAGTTCTAAATATTTCTGGGGATTAAGAATTAGCCAGATGTAAAATGTGTTGGTTTAGTTTCATTACTTGTGAACAAATAACTTAGGATATCAAGAATTTATCGAAGTAAATTAATTTTATGAATGATGTGAAAATTATTAAGAAAATCAAAGTAAATTCACAGGTCCCAAGGATTTCGTTATAACCCAGTTTTACTGTAGTATGCTTCCTATTCTTGAAAAGGATTCTTTCAATAAAATTCATTTCCTACTTATTCCCTTGTAAAGCTTTGAATACTTACTGTGGCCTCACTCTACCTCCTAGAGACCACATTTTGAACAAACTTGAATCTGCACTACCCAAGGATGCTTGTATATTGATATCACTAATCATGACCCTGCTATTCTTGAGGAGATTTCTAAAGAATTTTTCCCACATATTCCTATGTAAAACTTTGATCCCCTATAGTGGACCATTTCCTAAGGATTTTTTTTTTAAATTAATACTGGTATTACTAAAATGGCTTTGTTCTTCTTGAGAAGAAGATTATTAATAAAAGATTTTTTTCTGATTCATTCCTCTGAAAAACTTTGATCCTATATAGTGATCCTTTATATATATCCTTTCCCAAAGGAGCTATCATTTAACCAAACCTAAATCTGTACTATTTGAGGATACTTGTATATCAATATAAATAATCATGGTCCTGCTGTTCTTGAGAAAAAGTTTTTATAATCTTTTTTCCTATTTATTTTCTTGAAAAAGTTCCCTTCTACCCTTACCCCGGTGACTACAATTTGAACAAGATGCCCATCGACACAGCGCTTACATGTACCTGATGAATCACATTGATCTTGCTGTTCCCCAGAAAAAGATTTTAAGATTTTTCCCCTCTTTGTTCCAAAAGGAAAATTTTGACTCTATCCATATTTTGGCCACACCCTAGCACTAAGGTTTATAATTTAAATCCACATAACATGGAATGCTTCAGTATTAATTTGACAAACATAGCCTTGCTGCTCTAGAGAAGAATTTTTTTCGAAAACTTTTTTCCTTTTCCTGCATACATGCATGATGTAAACTTTGATCCAACCCCAGGGTCAATAATTTATAAAAAAAAAAAAAAATCAAGCTGAAGACTTCCTATTATTAAAGATTTTATAGCAGTAGGGACATTAGTTTTTAGATCAACCCTTGTACATTGTACAGAGTTTGAAAAAAAAGAAAATATTTCAGATTCAGAGATAAGATTTGGACAAACAAGAGGCCCATGGGCCACATCACACACCTGAGCACATTGGCTAGGAAAAAGCACAAATCAGTTCAGTATTGAAAGGTTAACATGGGTGAGTGGGGGGGGGGGGGGGGGGGGACATGAATTTTAAACTACCTGAGGATGCTTCCATATCAGTATAACAAATGACTTTGCTGTTCTTGAGCAGATGATTTTTTCCTGTATATTCCTTTGTAAAAATTTGATCCCCCATTGTACCCCTCCCTATCCCCAGGGGTCATTATTTATACAAATCTACACTACTTGAGGATGCTTCCATATCAGTAAGACTAAACATGGCTTTGTCATTCTTGAGAAGATTTTTCCTATATATTCCAATGTAAAACCATTGTGGCCCACCCTACCTCAGAGGGTCATCATTCGAACAAAGTTGAATCTACACTACCTGAAGATACTTCCATATCAATTAGACTATATTCCTATGTAAAAATTTGATACCCCATTGTGGCCTTACCCTTCCCTCGAGGGTCATGATTTGAATAAACATGAATCTACACTATGTAATGATGATTTCACACAAGCTTATACTTTTCTGGCCTAATGGTTCTTGAGAATAAGATTTTGAAAGATGACACTTAATTTTCATTAATTCTTTATTATCTCCCCTTGAAAGAGGGCAAGGCCCTTTATTTGAATAAACTTGAATCCCCTTCACCTAAGGATGCTTTGTGGCAAGTTTGGTCAAAATTGGCCCAGTGATTCTTGAGAAGAAGTCGAAAATGTGAAAAGTTTACAGACAGACAGACAGTCAAAATGTGATCAGAGAAGCTCACGAGCTTTCAGCTCTGCCTCCGGTGAGCTAAAAATAGATCTGAATAAACAGACGATTCCAATACACATCACAAACTTTGTTTCACAGGGGTATAATAACTTTATTTGTTATCAAAATAAAAAGTCTCCAAATAAATTATCAGGTTATATTGCAAATTTGCTATTGACCATTCAAATACATGTACATGTCCGATTGATCTGTAGCAGGCTTAACATCCATCATGCCTTTTAATGGAGTCTCAACTTATTTTTTTTGTCTGAATTTTTTTTTCTCTAATTTATGACCAATGTTTTGGGCAGGAGTCCTGCAGTCCTAAACAAGTCAGACATACCAGATACATAGTTACATGTTTTTAATATCTAAGATTATTTTACCAAGCAAAGTATTGTACACAAGTAAAATTAAAAAAGAAAATCTTACCATCAATTCTACAAAGTTGCTGCAGAAGAAACAAAGCTGACTTCTGACCTTCAGTCAGGTGACCAGATAACAGAGTCAATAAATGGTCTTTGGCCTCTATCAAATCTGATTCTGTGGAAGATAAATAACATACACTACTGTATTTCATATTTAAAATTCCTTTTACAGATGATATTCTTAAAGTACATGTATCACTACTTTTATATAGTTAATATTTTAAGTGGGAGGTCCGTAGTTCCTTGTATTTCAGACTACAGTGGAACTTTGATATCAGGGATATGTCAAAGTGATCTGACAGTCCCAACCACTTTTTTTTTAATGTTTTTACCCTATTATCTTGATTCCTTGGATATCTCAAAGTTTAAACTTGGTCCTATTGAGTTCAAGATAACAAGGTTTGACTGTATATGACAAGATAAAAATACAGTCAAACTTGCTATATATGGTAACCTCCATCAAGCAGTCATTAATTTTAATTCTTCTTAATTGAGAAATGCATATTATTTCCATCTACTTGAAGGTCATGTGTCTAATGCAGAAAGCAGTCACAACATTAAATTGCATCTCTATCCTGCATTAAATGGCCATTTTAACTTTTTTAAAACAAGTTACATTGTGAAGAATCAATAGTTCTGTAGATTTCTAAATATACACAAGGACTGTATACAGTAGATATCTAAATAAACACAAGGAATTGATTTTCTCTTAATTTCATGATAAGCATCATTCGTCAATTAAGACTACTTGCTTTTATTTTTCTTTTGTTGAAAAGAACTGTTGATGTACAGTCCACTTGTTTTGTTCTTGCTGTCATTTCACTGTTACGGTATTAAAGATGTACAATAAAGTGAAGGAGATAACTCTTACAATTTCAATTAAACATTTAACATCAAATTCAACATTAATTATTATGTGTCAAAATGACGAGCAACATGATTCCACTGTATTTCAGACTACAGTGGAACTTTGATATCAGGGATATGTCACAGTGATCTGCCCGGCAGTCCCAACCACTTTTTTTTTTATGTTTTTACCCTGTTATCTTGATTCCTCGGATATCTCAAAGTTTGAAAAGAAAAGAAAGAAAAAAAGAATTGAGGGCTTTGATTATTGTTTCTTTATGTAAATGATATAAAAGACACTAAAGAGAGAGCAAATCGTAAATTCCATTGTAGCTAAAACTAAAAGACAGTCAAGCGGAACTATACCTCAGTATAGCTCAATTTCTTTGAGGACTAGAATTATTCACTCTTTGTTATTCGATACTGGTATTCTCCCCTGAAATGAACTGCCATGGATTTCTACTGCATAATATATTCCTTAGAATTTAATCATGTTGTTTTACTCATCTGCACTACTTGTGCTTGTCTGGGTTATTGTGCTGGGAAATATGTTTTGTATTGCTTAAATTATTTGAGCTTAATATATTTAGAATTACATACATGTACTTTTGTACTGAGTCAATGTTCTATACTTAGATCTCAAGTTTTGAAACAGAAGGGTTATATATCAGTATCTACTCTTCTTTGGATTTCATTTATATAATTTGCATACATTAATAGGAAGTTTTAAAATTATATCCATGGAATTGTGTTGTAAAATAAACACATACTAGTATCAAGAATAGAATTTAGTTTATAGACATTACCATTATGCACAATGAAAAGTAAAAACAAAAATGTCAAATATTTCTAGATAAAAAACTCAAAATATGTTGACATTATCATGCTTCATAGTTAATATCTATGAAAAGGTTCCTGTAATCTATATATACTGAAAAGATTTATGAGAAACAAATTAGTATATGTATGTAGCCTAAAGTCATTGACAGGAAAGAAAATTGACAAGCTTTTTGTAAAGAATAAAACCAATCCCGGTCCTATAGGTCAGATAAGCATTTATAAAGGAGTGTTCCTTTCTCACTTTATGTTTAAAAATATCTTATTCTGAGTTACCTAGAGTGGAGTTGCTGTCTTGAGGACTTGTTCTGAATCTGTCAAAATGAACCGATATCACCTCAGATCTTTCTAAAAGTAGGTGATGCAAGATGTCAAGGTCAATGGCTTGTAGCAGGGTCACTAGATGTAAAATGGAAGTACAAATCTGCAAAACAAGTTGCATATGTGTAATTTGTAAGGCAAATAGTAATAAAGATAGAATACCTTCTAAACAAGATAAGCTAAACTTTGTGTAACTTATTATTTATTAATATTAATTTTCAACAGTATAAAAATACTACAATTAGTCCCTTGGATTCTAAAGTGAAATTTTCACAGACTTGTTATTTTCACTGTAAATAACACAAGAAGCCCATGGGTCACATCGCTCACCTGAGCACTTTGGTTAAAGAAAAGCAGAAATTAGTTCAGTATTGAAAAACCCCTGGAGGGGCAGGAGAGGGTGCATGATATGAATAATCTTGAATCTACACTAACTGAAGATGCTTCCACATTTTTATGACTAATTATGGATATAAAAGATTTTTACAGATTTTTTCCTACATATTCCTATGAACAAGTTTGATCTTCTATTGGGGCCCCATTCTAATCCCAAGGGTCATGATTTGAACTAGCTTGAATCTACACTAACTGAGAGAGCTTCCATTTAAAATGACTGAAAATGGCTTTACTGCTCTTGAGGAGAAGATCTTTAAAGATATTTTCTATATATTCCTATGTATAACTTTGATCCACTATCGTGGCCCACCCAAACCCCAGGGGTCATGATTGGAACAAACTTGAATCTGCTCTTCCTGAGGATGCTTACATATTAATGTCACTAATAATGGCCCTGCTGAACTTGAGAATAATTTTCTAAACATTTTCACCATATATTGCCATGTTAAACTTTGATCCCCTATTGTGGCCCCACATTACCCATGGGGCCAAAATTTGTATAATCTTGCATCTAGAGTATTTAAAGAAGTTTCATTTTAGTAAACTTGGTAGCTTGGAACAGCAAAGAGCCTCCCCCTCCCAACAGTAAGAAATTAAATCATCTTCCCCCACCCTTGAGAATATAAAAATAAACAACCCCTCACCAAAAGAAAAAAAATTAAATGGTGTTCCACCTATTTCTGATATTTACTGGTATAGCCCTAAAATTGCAAAAAGAGACAGACAGATCAACAACAATATGTGCCTTGATCTTTGATCTCAAAAACATAAATGGATCTTCTGCTATGCAAGTAGATGAGTCTTAATAAAGGTTCAGATACCTGATTGTTTAGATTATTTCTGTATTTAAATTCGGCAAAGTCGGTGATATCTTCTGAAGTTTCCAAGGCAATAACAAGACTTTCCCAAACAAAAGAAAACAACTGGCAGTCACCATAGTGACCCCTCTCGGATGGAGATCCCAGAGCCAATGCTGCATTAATTCGCACCTTGAAGTTCTTACAATCTTTAACAACAGCACACAATGTTACCATCAAATCTTGCTGAAATTAGAATAATTTTTAAGAATTAATAACCTATTTCTAGGTACTGTACAAGAATGTACATGTACTTTGTTTAACAGTTACTTTTCACAAAAGTTGAAAGAATGAGGCAATTACAGTGGAGCCTCATTCATCCGGATGCAATAATCTGGATATTTTACCTTTCAAACAAAATGTGTGAGGAACAATTATATTTATATATACCAAGTACGTTTCAGTATTTTGGACCCTTAATCCAGACAATTTGCTCAGGAATACAAGCTTCTGGATTAACAAAGCTCCACTGTATACATCAACGGCAATATTTTTCTCTCATTCAGTGAACAGTACAACTGACAAGATACATTTGGGAGAAAACAAAATCCAATCAGAAGCTTCCAAAATGAAAAGAGAGATTTTCTATCTGGCAATTTATACAAACTAATAGAAACAGATTAAAGCTATCACAAAAGGTTATAAACTATCACCCTTCTCCACTTGTGTTGGAATAATATAAGTACCATAGTATGGCCATGGTCACTACATCCGACCTGATCTAACAATGCAATGGGATTTTTTTTCAATTACTAACTACTGTGATCATAAATCACAAGATAAATAAAATAACAAAATGGACAGAAAAAAAGTAAAAAAAATTTGACTGAATTGAAAGAACTTCCACATTGCAAACTGCGATATTGTAGAAATGCTCGAACACAGCCCATCAGAACATTTGAAGATTACACTATAGGCTGGACTACTTGAAGGATAGAAAGAACAAACACCTAATGAAGTGAGAACTCATTTATAAAATCCAAAGAGGGCAGATATGTGCCCTTCTGCTATGTTGACAATTCACTGACAAACTGGTTTTTGCTTTGTTTATAGATTACATACCTGGTAGTTACTGAAACTTATTATGATTGTGAAAAAAAAACTGATATTTTTTTTGCCAGAATTAATTCCTGTGGGTGCCCAAAGTGTCCAAGTCAGCATTTTTATCTTGTCCCACACTCAAGTGATGAGTATGCAGCAAATTTTAAAACATTTAAAGTTAATTTTATTTTTTTTCAAATCAGAAATATGAAGTAAGCATATAACAGATTTCTAAAACAAGTATTGGAAACAAATTTGTAGTTATGATATTCTAATGAAAAACCCCTATATCCTTGTCCCAGCAGTTCTTGTCAGTAGTTTTATTTTGAAAGAACAAGAAGTCTGTGAGCAAATGCTCACTAGTAATACCCCCGCTCTGATGTGAATATACGGTTACCCTCTCATGTTGACATCGAATTCATACAAAAATGAATCCCACCATCTGGCATGCCTAAACAAAGATTGTGCTAAAATTTCAAGCATCTTCGCTGAGTAGTTGCAGAGAAAACTGTGACGGAAATTTGGTACAGACAGATGCACGGTTAAACAGGAAGTTGATGTCAGATTTAAACAAAAATGAATCCCACCATATGGCCTGCCTAAACAAAGAGTGTGCTAAAATTTCAAGAATCTGTAATGAGTAGTTGCTGAGAAAACTGCAACAAAAAATTTGCAATGGACAGACGCACGGATAAACAGGAAGTTAATATCTAATTCATATAAAATGAAATCCCACCATTTGGCATGCCTAAACAAAGACTGTGCTAAAATTTCAAGCATCTTCACTGTGTAGTTGCTGAGAAATATGCGACGGAAATTTGGTATGGACAGACGCACGGATAAACAGGAAAATGACATCGGATTCAAACAAAAATGAATCTGACCATATGGCATGCCTAAACAAAGATTGTGCTAAAATTTCAAGCATCTGCGCTGTGTAGTTGCTGAGAAAACTGAGACCAAAATTTGTGTTATGTATGGTATGGACAGATGCACGGATAAACAGGAAGTTGACATCGGATTTGAACAAAAATGAATCCGACCATATGGCATGCCTAAACAAAGATTGTGCTAAAATTTCAAGCATATGTGGTGAGTAGTTGCTGAGAAAACTGCGACCAAAATTTGTGTTATGTATGGTACGGACAGATGCACGGATAAACAGGAAGTTGACATCAGATTTGAACAAAAATGAATCCGATCATATGGCATGCCTAAACATAGATTGTGCTAAAATTTCAAGCATCTGTGATGAGTAGTTGCTGAGAAAACTGCGACCAAAATTTGTGTTATGTATGGTACGGACAGACGCACGGATAAACAGGAAGTTGACATCGGATTTGAACAAAAATGAATCCGACCATATGGCATGCCTAAACAAAGATTGTGCTAAAATTTCAAGCATCTGTGATGAGTAGTTGCTGAGAAAACTGTGACGAAAATTTGTTACGGACAGACACACAGACACACGGACACACAGACAGACAGACACACAAGGGTAAAACAGTATACCCCCTCTCCTTCGGAGCGGGGGTATAATAAATATGTCTATTTGGAGAAATTCAGGCTGTGTGTATCTTCAGATGGAATGGACCTTCTCAAATAACTGACCTGGTCAGTAATCTGGAAAATATTGATTAGATGCAGCATGCAAAGCATTCCTGGTGGTGTACATCCCCAGGTGAATCATCCATGCAAGTATGGTTCATGTAGAACTTATTCATGTAATTAGTTGGGAATGGACATTTGCCAAAAACTTAAACCTTGTCACTCGTTCAAAAACATACAGGTCAAATGCAGCATCCATGTTCAAAGCAAGAGTAGTAAGCATCCCTAAATGCACTATGCCTATATGCTTCTAATAAATTAAGAAAAGGATCTACTTCAAAAATTAACCTGGGATGCCAGCAATGGGGGGGGGGGGGGGGAAGATAGAAAAATAAGTTCTCCTTGACTGTACAGGTGAACTAGAAAAGTTATCAAACTCACTGTCCATGGGGCTCCTCCAAAATTTAGTAATGTATTTTTGAACATGTTACTGACAGCATAGCAGGCATTCCATCTTAACTGTGAAAATAAGAAATAAATACGATGAATAAAAATATATCACAATTTTAATGACATAGCGGAAATCTTTGATGTTCCTTACACACATAAACAGGAGGCCCTAGGGCCACAATGCTCATCTGAGTCTAGCTGTTCTTCAGACAATTTCCCCCCTCCTTAATCACTTCAAAAATTTTGACCCTATATTGTGGCCTCACCCTAGCCTCAAGGGATCATGATCCCATATCATAGGCAACGCTTCAATATCAATATGAATAACAAGGAGTTACTGTTCTGGAGAACACTTTTTAAAGAATTATTTTCTTTTATACATGCATTAAAATTTGGTACATGTACCTGATTTAAGCCCTAATTCACAAGGAAAACAATATATGTTTTAAAAAAACCCAAAAATAGTGAAATTGTCAAATTCTAAGGGCAATACTTTGGTAAAAATGGGTAATTCAACAAGAAACTCATGTTTAATCTGTAAGTCATCATTATCAAGAGACAAACCAAATATCATTATCTAATAGCACAGAAAAAAGAAAAAAAAAGAAAAAAAAAACAGTGAAATAGAAATTTTCATTGTCTAAGAGCCATATCTTTTGTAATGAAAGAAAAAAGAGCAAGCTCACAAACCCCATGCTCCTACATTGCTTGACAATGCTACACATAATGAATGGCAATGCTTTGCATCAAACACAACAGATATTATTATATCTCTTTTTCAGATGTTTGTCACATCAGAATCAGATCTGTTTGTAATATCTGAAGGTGCACTGAATAAAATATTCCAAACGTCTTCATCATTTAAAATCATAATGCATGTGTTAAACCATTTCACACAAGTTGCACAAAATAGTATGTTTAGGCCAAACTTCTAAGTTCAAAAGGAGCAAAGGAGCAAAAGGAACAAAATTGAATCTGTACTACATGAGGATGCTTACATATTTAATATATCAATTATCATTGCACAGCTGTTCTTGAGAACATGATTTTCTTATATATTCTAACGTAAAATTTGATCCCTTATCACGACCCCACCCTACCCTGTGGGGTAATGATTTGAATATATCTGACCCTGAACGACATGAGGATGCTTGCAAATTTTAATAAAGCTAATCATAGTCCTTTCTTGAGAAAAAGATTTTTAAAGATTTTTTCATATTCTGTGGAATCGATATTGTTAAAAGGGAACTGATGTTTGTGGAATTTCTGGGGCAGCCAACCCATAAATATACATCCCCATGAATAATAAAGGACTATATTCTCTGCTCCCAATATTAAACTTTGATGGAGAAATCTATAATTATGTTCTAAACCAGGGGGGTATCAGCAGACTTGAAAACATTACCTATTTTCATCAGCAATGATGCCATATGTTAGATATGATGTCAAAAAGATGATGTAAATTCCAAATTTCAATAATTTTAAGAGGAAAAAAAAGTGTAATTTACGTTGACATTTTGATTAAAAGTCATGAAGTGCAGGTCTGCCTCAGCTTGATCTTTTGATATACTGTGTAGAATTATAATATCAATGAAATATGGGAATATTATTCTGGGGCAAGCTTGTGCTCAGTAAATTCTACACTCAAAATTGAACAAATTTTGTCCATTTTGTCCTCTTTCTTGAAAATAATGGAAAATCCAAATAGTTTGTGACGTCACAGAAATAAATATTGCCTATAATCTACTTCCATACTAAAATAATTTTTGTCAATTAAGATTTTTCATACAAGATACACAATTGCATACATTTCTAGAGATTTTCAAAATTTGGCTTTAATGAGGGCAAAAATATGCTTTTACTGCATATAGTTCTTTGTCAATGTACCTGTTCATTCAATCTTTTGTATTTCCAAATTACCCAGAAAATTACCAGTGTCACTACAAAATTCCATGTACACTTTACACTATCATTATTTGTGTTAAGTGTCAGGTAAAGTTTCGTGTACTTTTACTTCTAAGTGTAAAGTGTCAGTAAATTTTCAATGAACATTAATTGTCCATGATACAAAATAATACAACATTAGTGTATAGTGATGGCTGCTTCGACCATTATACATTCCTCTATGTAAAACTTTGATCCCCTATTGTAATCACACCCTATCCCTGAAAATCAAAACATGAACAAAGAATCTGCACTACCTATGAATTCTTAGATATTAATAAGACAAATCATGGCCCTGCTTTTCTTGAAAAGAAAATTTTTAAAAATTTTCCCCATGTTTTCTTAATATGTAAATCTTTGACCCCTATTGTGGCAGTATCCTATTCCCTGGATTCCAATGATTTGCACAAACTTGAATCTACACATCGTCAGGAAGCTTTCATAGAAGTTTCTTCTTTTCTGGCCCAGTGATTCTTGAGAAGATTGTTAAAGACCCCATCAAATTTTCATTACTTCTTAATGATCTCCCCTTGAAAGAGGGCATGACTCTTCATTTTGAGCAAACTTAATCCCCTTCACCCAAGGATGCTTTGGCTGAATTTGTGGTTCTGTGGTTCTGGAGATGAAGTCCAAAATGTGGACAGTTAACAGAAGGACGGCTAGGACAGACAGATGACAGGTGATCAAAAAAGCTCACTTGAATCTATGGTTCGGGTGAGCTAAAAAAACAAACAAACAAAAGTAATAAAGATGTTAATAAACATGAATTCTCTGTCACGTTACCTTCATTGTTCCACTGCTGATGTTCTTAATTAATGCTTTGACTCCATCCTCTACAGATGTTCTGAAGGAACTCTTGCCTGAAATCAGCATATCAATTCATCATTTCAGTTTCTTCTATACATGAACTATGTATATAAAACACTACCATTACTATAAATTCATTCAACACTTATATTGCATAAGTATATCATAAATCAGTAATAAATAATTAACCATATAAATATACAACCAAGTGCTACTGTCCATTGGTTTACAGGAATTCCCAAACAAAATACTACCGAGGCTCCTGATTGGTAGATATCTGAGGATGTTTCCCAGGGCTCTGACTGCATTGGACTTGACTTTGTCACTGTCCTGACAGGCCTTAATGGAGGTGCTGAACAGCTTCTGTAGCAACATGTCTGAGAAGTCATTCATGAAGTCATTATCACCATCAATCCTACAAATAAATAAATTAATATGATAATAATGGCAGGAAAGTGAGAAATCACAGAAGCCCACATATCTATGTACCTAAACATTATATGACTAAATACAAAAGGTAGGCTAAAGGTAAGTGCAATCATTTAAAGACTACAGGAGATAACTACAAAAATGAAGTTCAGAATCTATTTTTAAGTTAGGATTTTTTTTTACCAATTTTAAAGAAAACAAAATTAACTGTTATTTTGGAGTTCTATTTATTTCAGTTTGTATTTAATATGCAGAGTATTTCCTCAGTCACAAAAATTAGTCATCTTGAATAGTTTCAAACTGCCAAACCATGAATAAAAGTTGTGAATAAATAATAGTTGGTTTATGGTATATATTTGAGTAAACAGTCAGTAGCAAACCTAATTAGTGATTTATTTTCTTGGGGACCACTATGTGACAGTCAAAACTTAACGAGGTTGGATCCTGATATTTAAAGTCTTAAACTTTTTTTGTCAAGTATATTTTTAGTTTCTACACACATAGCTTAATTAAAAATCACAACAAAAACTGGGGGTCAATACGCTTCTTTTGGCGCTACAGTACATTTAATATGACCTTTTTGCACTGAAATTTGTGTCTTAATCAAAAATCACATCTTCGACGTTTTCCCGCCAATGTTTTTATCCAAATAAATCATGGGACAAATTAAACTATTAGTCTATTTAAAAAAAGACACTTCAAAATTGTGACTAAGAAAAAGTTTCAAATTGCTTCGCATAATCAATTATTTGACCTTTCTGCACTCAAAAAAAATGTGATTTTTCTGGCATTAAAAATTTAACAAGTAAGAAAATTATTTTAAAGTCTTAAACTTTTTCTGAATTTAGGCAGATTGATCAAAGTTATCTTATATATTCAGAAAATAAAAACAAAAGTGGGGGTCTATGATGTAAATTTTTAGATATTACTAAAAAAGTGTTAATTTTATGTCAAAATTGTCTAAATTTATTCCTGGAGTTTCAGAATATATTTACAGTGAAACCTGTCTTATCCGACATGTTGTGGGAAATTAAAATAATGTCGGATTCAACAGTGTGTCGGATTACTCAGTGTTGGCTATTTTCTGTTACTTTAAGTGTCAACAATATCAGTGTACTTCACTTTCTTATCAGGTGGTTGATTATGTCCTCCATGATTATTTCAAATAAAAGATTTATACATAGAAATGTGATTTTATTTCAATAAATAATTAAATTACATAGTACATGTCTATTTACAGTTTTAATACAAATTACAGAGCTAACAATTTGCATGAACATGTACAGTGTAGTTACTTTTCCTGAGATTTTGTGAAAAAAATGTCAATTGTTGTCTGTTTCTTGTTAAGTCGCTGTTTAACTAGGGTCTCTTCTGTCAGAGTTGTAAGATACTGGATACTGTCGAAATATCGAGCGTCGGTAGCAATTGCAAATTTGCTAAGATCTCTGAGCATATCAAGAACATTGTTATAAGTAATATTACTCTGAATAATTTCATCATCGGAATCTTCAGAATCACTGCTTGCATCCTTGGAATTGTCATTTTTAAATTCTGATAATATCGTTGTTTCCCAGTCTCCGTCATACGTCTCTTCTGTCTCCAAGTCATTCTCCGTGTCTGTTATTATGTCTAAGTGGTTTTTGTCCGCCATTTCATATTTCGTTTTTAAGATGCTTAAAGGTAGATCATCATCGTCGTCATCGTCAGAATTTTCAAATGATAAAGATTCGGTATTTTCAATCGGGAAACCTGCATCGCGGAAACAACTTTCAATTGTGGATTGTTTTGTCTCGTCCCATGCCTTTTTAATCCAGTGTATTGCATCAAGTACACTGACATTTTTTGTCAATTCTGTAGCAGTTTTACATGTGTCAATTTTTGATAGGAGATGTCGCATCATACGTTTCCTATAACGAGCCTTAAACGCACGTATGATTCCTAGATCAAGAGGTTGTAACTTAGATGTCGTATTCGGTGGAAAATATTTCAAACTGACATTGGTTAATTGTAATTCATGAGGATGGGATGTAGCATTGTCAAGGAAAAGAAGAATTTTTCTGTTTTGTTTTTTCATTTCTTTATTTACACTGAATATCCAGTCCTTAAATGTTTCCCCGGTCATCCATGATTTTTTGTTTGAGCGCCAAATAACGGGAAGTTTCGACGGATCAAGACTACCAAAACAACGGGGCTTGCGGGCTTTACCAATAACTAACGGTTTAAGTTTTTCTCCGGTACAACTACAACATATCATGACCGTTAATCTTTCTTTAGCTAGTTTCCCTCCCTTACATTCTTTTCCCTTTTCGGCAAATGTTTTATCGGGCATCGCTCTGAAAAACAAACCTGTTTCGTCACAGTTAAAAATATTTTGAGGTGAATAACCATGTATGAGATCTGGAATTCTAGACTGATATTCTTTAACACACTCGATATCAACACTGGCACTTTCACCACAGATTTTGAAAAACCCCATAGAATATTTATTTCTCCAACTTTCAAGCCACCCATTTGACGCTTTGAATTCATGTAGGCCAAGCTCGGCCGCGAATTCAAGAGCCTTTGCCTGGATTAACGGGCCACTTAGAGGAATATTTTTTGCCCTAGCTTGTCCAAACCATTTGAACACAGCCTCGTTTAATTCGGAAAATTTTGAACCAGATGTAAATCGTTTTCTCTTGGATGAAATGTTTCGTTCATATTGATCCATTAAAAATTCCTTGCGTTTCAAAATGTCTGATACAGTGGTACGTCCCACTCCAAATTGTTTTCCAAGCTGTTCTTGTGTTGGTTTTGGAAACGACTCTGATTTTTTTATCAATTCAATTTTTTTTTCCAATCCTAAATCAATTCTTTTCCTTTTAGGAGAAGGTGACATTTCACATACAATTTTTCTTTTCTGTGGCGATGACGCCATTTTCGTTTAAGAATAATAACAACAAAGAAAATCGATTTGTCTTCTTTTAATTGAATTTTGTTCAATAATTGTGTACATAAACAAAAAGACCTACAAACCTCACCATGCATGACTGACTACATTCTCAGCTGGTCGATTGACCAAACGGGACTTTAAAATCACAGCTTGAACCTGTTACCTGGCCAGCGGCTAATTATGGTATACCTACCTGGGGTTTAACGAGCCGTGTAATTATGTCGGATAACACAGGTGAAATTACAATGTAATTAACAGGCTGTCTTCACAAAGAGGCGTCGGAATTCGGAATGTGCAGTGGTCGGATTGTAGAGTATTTTTTTCTATAAATTATATAAAGAATTTTTTGGGAATAAAGATTTGCGTCGGAAGTCCCAGTGTGCCGGATTGCACAGTTGTCGGATTGGACAGTGGGCACTGTACTATATTTGTCACAATATAATGAAAGGATTCATAGGAAATAATTTAATAGATATTTCAGAACCAGCATAAAACATCTCACTGCAAAAAACAACTCTGTGTGCAACCAGCGTGGAAAAATAGGAATCTAAACTTAACAGTACTGTATATATTTCAAAAGGGGACAAAATGATCATTTTCTCCTAAAAAACCTTCCGCCACAAAATATAGTTCCTGGCTTAATCCTCTTTGAATGGAATTTAATCGCGGTTTTTCCATTGGATGTAGTTTAATTTGCATTGTAGAATTCAGATTTAATGTTTGAACTTAAAAATGATGCAGAATTTTATAAATAAAGGTCCAGACCAAAATCTGCTCAAAAGCTCAGGATCGAACCTCCTTAAGAATAGATGATCAAAACATCAAAATGATTTGGACATACTGACAGATATTATGCACTTATCCACTGGCTGCGAGTGGGATAGCTCTTTTATCAAACCCAAAACAGGAGCTATTCCCCGAGGGCTTGCCCAAGGGGAACAGTTCCTGTCAACGGTTTGAAGAAAGAGCTATCCCACTCACACCCATTGGATAAGCGTTTTATTATACTGATGTATATCATAATTTCTGAGGGTTTGTATTACTTGATACTACAGTTTCATAGGCAAAACATGAAAAGAATAATTATTAAAGTTTTGAACAAGTATTAGGAATAGCATAACACTGCTAGAGTGAGCAGAAATCCTGATGACGTCACAATGCTATTGAAGTCAGGATAACATCATCAGTCTATGGATTGATCATAGGAAATCAAAATTGGCGGCAAAAATTGCATGAAAATTTTCCAAGGGTGGGTAGCACAAACTATACCTCAGGGTATAGCTTTGCTATCCGTGGAAATTTTCAGACTATACAAGATAGCTATTTTATCTTCTTAACTTTATATAGGAAACATTTTAACAGAAGTATAATTAAAAGTCTTACCATCTAGACACAGAGATACAGAGGCAGTCACTTGTCATACATAAAGCAATCAAAGTACTGCTACATTTCAGATTGAGGGAAAATGTGCACAAAGAATCATTCAACATAAATAAGCTGTCTCAGACTGTCTCCACCCAGCTCTACTCTTAATAGTAAGAGCCTCGGTTAATGTCCCTACCCTCCTTATATACCTCGTTACATGGTGCCAAGTCAAAAGTATCTCGCCGTAAACTTCTAGCATGCTGCAGTTACACCCAGCTCTCACATTTAGAACAGGAGCCCGATAAGTCATAACTCTTGTTTGGGTCATTCTGGTCCTGCTGTTCTCCATCAGCATTTATTTTTCTGAAAACTTCCCTTCATTATTTTATGAAAATTTTAACTCCATATTGTGGACCAAATTCTACCCCTAAGGGAGCATTGATTTAATCAAAGCTGACTCAACACTGCATTGGGATTCTTCATTATCAATACAATCAACATGACTCCATTCTGGATAAGATTTTTTTTCCTGTACAAACACATTATGTAAATTTTGGATATCTGATTCTGGCCCAATCTTTACTCCAGGGTTCATAATTAAAAAAAAAAAATACTAATTCCTCACAATTTAAGAATGTTTTGCCTATACAGTGGCGCCGCGGTAATCCGGACATCAATAATCCGGACGCCTCACCTTCCGGACGATATTTTTTGGGAACCGATTTTTTCCACGTTATTCTGTCTCATTAATCTGGAAATTCGCGTTCCGGATCCGGACGGTCAATTTCTACTACAAAACGTAATATTTCGTTGAAAAATGACTCGTTTATCCGGACGGTAATTTTTCGAGGAACGACTTTTCACACCTTTCTTGCAGTAGTGATAATTATTGTAAAAACATTGTCCGTGGAGTCAGTGTGACCTCTAAACAATAGCGTCTATAATTAGCGTGTGTTTACCTCAGATAAAACACACGTCTTTTATATTATGAAGCCCGAAGAATTTAGCTTATATTGTGCATTAATTAAATTGCTAACGGTATATAAATATATGAGAATTTTGGAGAGCTGTAAATAAAATATTTTACTGAATAATAAATCACGAGATTTTGTTGTGATATCGTGTTGCGTAAGTTTATCAAAATACGATCGTACATTATTTGAAACGTTTTTTTTTTTCTTTTCATAAGACAATTTAATATTATGATACATAATTCAAAAAATATATATCTCTATTAATGCACTAAGAAATACGTAACTGGCGTTAGTTATAAATGCCGATCACGTCTTTTCAAGATATATAACTTAAGAGTTTATAGAAAAAAGTATTGATTATCCTGAATATGGCTTGTGTTTACGCTGAATGTTTGCAATACGTACACTGATTGCAGTATTTAGTTACTTACTTCCCTATGTAGTGAATATACGCGGTTAGTCATTTGAACATTCTCAATGGTGATAATGAACAGTTCTACTTAATATGAGCTTGAATAAATTTAAAAAAATGTGCCGAAATAAAACAGTAGCAGATCAAAATTTGGTCAGCCCATGTAACTACACGTCAAATAGAAGGCGAGTAAAGTTTCCTGTGTTAGAAAAGGAAATCTCAACATAAAACTGCCTATCCATTTTTCATCGTGTAAATTACGTTTTAATTTTTTTCTTTTTTAAATATTTATTATTTCTTTTAAAACTATAAAAATGAAATCAATAAGTCAAGGTAAAATAAAGGTGTTTTCTTTGCCTTCACATTTGATACCACTATGTTCATATGTACATGCTTTAAGAGGGTACGTCTTTTAAGAAGTGATTCACTTATCCGGACGATTCATTTATCCGGACGATTTCGTTGGGGACGGAGGCGTCCGGATTAACGAGGCGCCACTGTATATAAAATATTAATATGGACTTGCCACTCTTGAAAAGATTTCTTACTTTTAGTATAATCCCTTCTAAAACTGATCCCCTCTAGTAGCCTCAACCTATTCCCAAGGGCCCATTCTGAAAAAACTCTAATCTAAACTTCCTGAGAATGCCTGCATATCAATATGATTATTAATGACTTTGCTGTTCTTAGGAAGAAAATTGTTAAAAACTTTTTCCTACATATTCCTATGTAAAGCATTCTCCTATTGTAGCCCCACCCTACCCCAGGGGGTAATGATTTGAACAAATTTGAACCTACACTACAAGAGGATGCTTCCATATTAATATGACTAATCAATGATTGGCTGTCCTTGAGAAGAATATTTTTAAAGATTTTTTCCAAGATAATCCTGTGTGAAACTTAAGTAGCTTATTACGGCCTCATCCTACCAAACATGAAGCTACACTAGCTGAAGAAGCTTCCATAGAAATATGACAAACAATGGCTCTTCAGGAAGAACACATATAAAACAAGAAATACACATGTAATACCTGAAGTGTGTGACAAAAAAGCAGCGGCATACTGTAAACCAACTTTTATTCGCGTGCGAGAAATTTTCGCGAGGTTCGCGAGAGCCTCATCATTGCGAATATTTATCGCAGCAAACCGGTCCTTAAAGTCTCTCTATCTATTAGCAACAGATCCAAAAAAGGCTTGATAGCGAAAATTAATCGTCGCGAACTAGTTTACCCCCGGTAAATTGCGAAATAAAGTCGTCGCGAATAAAAGTTGGTTTACAGTAAATCAAAGGTTTTTACAATGCTTTGATCTTCAGCTCTGCAGGTTTGTCTTTTCAAATTTTCTAAACCACAGAAATACAGTTCTGCAGCTAAAATCCCCCTTTCTCTTTCCCCAGCCTTGAAAAATATTAAGATCAATTGACCCTTGCTTCAACGAAATTCAATGTGACCATCTGCTATCCTATTCATTTTATGATAAGATCTATATCCTTACTTGTTTAAGACTAGAGCATCACAGAGGTTAGCCAGAGACCAGGCAGTCTTAAATCGTACATTTAAACAGGTGTCCTCCATGGACATCAAAATAGCATTAGCAGCATCAGCTACAAAGCACACATCCTGTAAATTGAAAAAAGTAAAATAAATTACTAAAGCAATTATGACCAATTTCATTCAATAAAATTTTAAATATCTTAGATATCATCTCAACATGAATTTTGAAGGTAATGGTAATGGGTGCACTATGGTTTTTTTCTTCAAAATAGTCATTACCACTATAAACTCACTACCACTACAAAATAATATACATTACCACTACATTTATAAGTATACATTACTGCACAGTGCCTCTTCCTTTAGCCAGCACATGTACAAATATTAAGTACAACATGTACATGCATAACCTGTTTCCTATGTTCACCTTTTTGACACATCTCCATTCTTTTTTCTTGAAAGTCGTTACTGTATTTAGAGTACAGGCTGAATTAATTATATTAAATAGAACTCATACTTAAATTAATTGTACTTCAACTTTGACTACATTGTGAGTGAATTATACTGAATAGAACTGATATTCTGTGCCACTGCCTGCATATATATACATATATATATATATATATATACTCTGTATATGTAGAAGTAATGAGTTGTAACCACCAAGCATCTTATTAATAGCACCCAAAATTTAGATGAAAAGTAGCAGTTATGAATTGGATTTTTTTTTTTTTTGCAATAAAACCCTACCTCCAGGGCCAACAATTTTAGTAATTCAGCAACTGCATCACATGAGAATGCTTTTATATTAAATTCACTAATCATGGTCTTGCTATTATTGAGAAGAAGAATTTTAAAGATTTTTTTCTATACGATCATTAATATTTAAAACTTTGATCCTTAATTAAGCCCCCACCCTATTGGAGGAGGGGGGATGATTTGTACAAACTTGAATCTGCACTATCTGAGGAAGCTTGCATAATAATATAATCAATCATCAGAAGATTTTTAAGATATTTTCCTATATATTCACATGTAAGACTTTGATACCCTATTGTGACCCCATCCTATACCCGAGGGCCATGATTCGGACAATTTAGAATTTACACTATGTCGGAAGGTTTCATTTCTTCTGGCATAGCTGTTCTTCAGAGAAAGATTTTTTAATGACTCTAACCATATTTACCCATTGGTAAAATAAAAATTGCAGATGGATGGACAGAAAGAGACAGACTGAAGCTGGAGTATGAGTGATCATAAAAACTCATTTGAGCTTTTAGCTCAGGTGAACAAAAAAATTAATTCAAACTTTCAATTTAGTTTAAAATTTAAATATTTACCAGACACAATGTCCAGTGTGATTTAAACTTTTACCAGAATCCATGAAAATCTGGCACATTTTGACAACTCTGCAGATCATTTATGGCCTAAATATTTAATCTCTTTTGAAACTCATTAAACTCTTAATGATTTATTAGAAAATCCATGAATCTTAAACATAAAACCCCTTTCAAAAAGCCACTTGTTTTTGCCTTCTAAATTTAAAGTTTGCATGCATTAAACCTGGTAAAACAAGAAAAACAAGCCCTGTAGTGAAGATAAATGTTCATAATTCTAGATAAAGAACAAGGTTCACTTAGGGCCTTTTTAGGCCCTGTGAATTTAAGAAAAAGTGAAACTGCTTTATTTTAGTTGACAATGCTTTAAATGTCATTTAGGCTCTTGGTGATTGCGAATCTATCAAAAATGACGTAATTTTCTGGCTAGTAAATGCATTATGACGTCATGAATTGCGTCATTTTCCTCATATCCTGAAAAATTCAACAAAACGGCCAATTTTTAAAGCAATTTTTCGATATTTCATATAGAGCGCAATCTCTGATCTAAATTATGTAATTATCAAATGATAGAACTGTTGCTGGGAATTACAAAACATGTTTTATTTTTTTGGATCAAGAAGTGTGCTCATATTATTTTTCTTCTCTGAAAGCACTTAAATATACCTGTTTTGCTTAAAATTCAAGAACATTGCAATTTCATAAAGCCTATTTTCCAATACTTGAACTTTCAGGAGAAAATTTTTAATAGGAAATGAAAGCACTCAGTCTCTACAATATCTTGATATTTGAAATGGAACATAGAGTGTTATTTTATAAATTGGTATATCTACAGGGCCATTTTATGCATAAAGTGAACCTAGCTCTTTAGATGACTTACTTCTCTAAGACATGGAAACAGCACAAACACACCAATGGTTCTAATGGCCGAGGATCTTACTATTTTATCCTCATCTGATGTTAATCCCAAAATTAATGTGATGCACAGCACACGTTTGTCAATCTGAAATTCATAGATACACTGCCTTCAAACCTTAATTTCAAATACAAGGTCAGTTACAGCTTACCAGTACTTTCAAACTTCATCAAATCACAACACTTTATCTTTCGTGTAATTAGCCAAGCACAAAGTAAAAATGACTTTGTAAGCAACTCAATGGCATGTACCGGTACATGTACATGTATACTCAGTACATCAAATATTTGTGCTAGCCATTAAATACATTTCATTACTAATGTTGCTTTAAAAGAAAAATGTCATCAACATTTCATTTCTTACAGGTAGGGCAGCAAAAACTTCTGGTCCAATGTTGGAGGCACAGTCACAGGTCGTGGCCTTCACAGCACAATGTGGCTCGGACTGGAGAATGTTAGCTATAGCACCACTCAACAGAGATATCCAGAAATCTGTCACCTGCAAATGATTATAAATTACATTATCTCCTATGTACCTTGTAACAAGAGAATTGATTGGTTAGCAAGCTGGGTGTAAATTTCCATACACCTGGCTGAAGTTCGGGTGAATAATCTGACATCACAATGAATACTTTCTCTAGCACAAAAGCTAATAACACGATGTCATGTGATCATGCATTGTAGCACATAGTAAATCTATTGATCTACGGAATGAATGTAATAGCACTACCAAAGTTATACTGTATAACCTGGGTTAGGACAGTTTACACTTTATAAACTGGGAATCGGTTTATAAAAAAGCATAAACTGTTCCAGAATTAAATTAAAGTTTGATACACAGATTAGACATGGGTAATGAATTTATATGGTTACATAGGAAATGTGTTCATCATCCAGATTCAATCAAAGGACAGGAATTTAACCCTTGTTTTATTCCATAACCCTTCAGCTTCAGGGTATATGTTATACAACCCAGGGTAAATGCCCATACACTCTTGTTTGAACCTGGATAACTAATACTGCCTCACTAACATTCCTATTTTTAAGATACTGTATTTTGCTGAATATAACATGTAGTTACATAAAATATGCACACACACCCTTCCTTTTTTAGTACGAAAATTGGGAAAAACACAGTTCATGTGTTAAATATGCTGCAAATTAAAGAAATATTGATGTAAAAAACCTTTAGTGGTATGTTATACACAATCATTTCACACAAAAGAAATTTCTAGAAAAAAATTGTGCATTATATTCAGCAAAATATGGTATTAAAAAGCCATCCTAATACCAGTATATGTTAATAGAAGATTGTTTTATGAAATACAAATATGAAATATAATTATACATATTTGTTATATGTCTCAACAGAATGTATAGAGAGTACCACAGCATAAACAAATTTAAACCAGCCACACTGTTAATGCCCGGGTACTAATTTTGTGTTTATGACATCACAATACAGTCATTCTTCCTCCATTTTTAATGACACCACATACATGTATATTTGATGTCACTATTATCCATTGAACTGGCAGTTATACTTATGTGGTAAAGATAATTATGACCAGAAATTCAGAGATTCCATTCATATGAATTAAAAAAATTTATTGACATTAAAATATGAATTGTAATAAAAAGGTTATTGACTGAATATCAGGAAATATGCCCGCCCTCGGTTTTTGTGTGGATACAGACCTCGCAAGCTGAGTCTGCTTTACTGCGCAAAGACCTCAAGTGTGCATATTACCTGATATTCAGTCAATAACCTATAAATATAGAGGTCAACTTTGATAACATACCTGTTGTAGAGTTAATCTGCCTGAGGAATCCGTCAGTTCTCTTGACTGAATTTCCCTCTGCAGAGCTTGGGTCAGATCATCCACAAGCTAAAATACAATGTTATAAACTACATACGAATAAAATCAGTACAACACTGACTTTATGTGCTTAGTTATGCTAAAGTCATGTAAAGTTACAGCAATAATCAAAACAAGATGCACATGAACCCCAGTCTGACACAACATTCTCTTCCTGACAAATAAAAATGAAAAATTTCATTGTCATTTCCAAATAAAAATCCATCATTTCAACAATTTTTAATTTACAGAATATTGAGGCTTCATTTCCACTTTATAAATGGTAATTTCTTACTCCTGTGGATATCAGAATGTTTCTGTATATAATTTTGTTCCCAAAATGTGACTCAAACCTAGTCTCTGCATGATGCCATGCTTTGGACAATATGAATCTACACCATATGGGATACATGTAAATATAACAATATGTCTTTTATCAGAAGCAGATTCTTAGAGATTTTTCTGAAGTAATCATATGAGTACTTGACTTCCATTATTGGCCTTATCCTTGCCAGAGGGATAATGTCCAATTTGAACAAAACTGATTTCACTACATGAAGTGCTTAACTATCACTATAATAGTAAGTCAAAATGTGCTGCTGTTATATAGCTGTTGATTAAATTCCAGTTCTCCATAAAAACGCTTCTTTAACTGTTATTCAGCAGTCACGTTCAGTACATTATTATGTATATTATTTACAGCATTCAAATTGTGGTTAACAAATTAAAAAAAAAGGAAATTCATGTCCAAAAGTCAGCTACTCATTATTAATTTCATTCTACACTATTTTTAAAATGGGCATCTGGTGTTTGAAAAAAAATATGTTTCAGTTAATTCTCTGTCATTGCCATCAAGTTGGAAGATTAATGACATGCTCTAATGCCAGTTCACCTGTTACAGTACTGTTTCATGTGCATGTAGATATCATTAATTCTGTGATGCCATGACCTCTAACCCATAATAAGTTCACACAGAAATGAACTGACTTGCTCTTCATTAGGTTCATTGAAGAAAATATTCACAATATGTAAATTTTATATGTTAAAGATTACTGATTAATTAAGGATAATTTATAAAGATAGAACATAGATTTACTTCATTTTATTCAACATCCTTTATTTCAAGCAATTCTATTGCAAATGTCTTCTGCATAATTTTATACTTCTGTATAACTGACATGATTTCGAATATTACTTCGCTGATAAAATTGAGCATACAGAGTTATATACTGTATAAGTGGAATTTTTAGCGAGACACAAATATAGCAATTTATCCCACAAAAGTAGTGTATATTTTTAGTGAGAAGCAATTTTAGCGATTCTATTATGTCCAGAAAAATGGCCATAAACACAATATCAAAACCATTGTTAATAATGCCAAAATTAAATCCTTGCTAAAAATTTCTGCTTATACAATATAATATTGCTTACCTTTGATGTGTGAAGACGAATCACATGGTCTTGATCTGCATAACATTTGAGAATCAGATCTTGCAGGACAGGTAGACTGTTTCTACAGAGAAAATATAATTACAAGTATCTCCTCAAAATAAATACTGTACATCTGCAACCACAATAAGATAGGCTACATTAATTCTCAGATAAAAACCAATAGCTGTTGATCAATCAATAAACACAATCTACTTCTAGATTAGTTCGATCCGCTTTTTTACAGCCTTATGTATGGGAGATTTTTCAAGATGTGTCAAAGGTAGGGATGTCAACGAATATTCGATTATTCGAATATTCATTCGATGAGTTGATATTCTAATAATAATTTACGATTCGAATATTCTTTTTTTTCCCCCAGATTTCACAAAAAAGAGATAACTATGATTAATTTCGAGGACAACAAAATGAAACCCTTCTTTGTCAGTCTAAAAGATGTGAAGATTTTACTTGAAAAAGTAAATTTCATTGATCATTGAAATACCTGTGTTATTGAATTAGTCTGTAATACAGTAAAGGGATCAATTTCAGAATAAATTGTGTTAATAACTTGATTATCTCGGGTTGTACATATTCCGAATTTTAAAAATTATTTTCGGGAAAATAGTTATTTAACCTACGAAAATTGTCCTTGGAAGTGTTGTTTATGTTTTGAAAACATTGAATCAAGGATTAAAATTACAACTTTTATTGGGTAGATAATTGTAATTAATTACACGCATTTAAATCACACAGTATACGATAATCTTGCCCTTGGTAAGACGATCAGTTCATCATTAAGAGCTTCAAGATATAATTATTTTAGAATGATATTTCGGATGTTTACATGTACACGCAAATCAATATATTTATTTCAAACATCGACAAATAGCAAATGTAAAATTCTTTACTGTACAGCTGTAAAATTCTACACCCAATTTTTCTTCCAAATCTGTCACGAGGGGAAGATGATACATGTATAAAATTAACTTGAATTAACTAAATCTTATCGAATATTCAAATATATTCGAATACTTTCATTGAATATTCAAATATGAATCATTGACAAAATTGACATCCCTAGTCAAAGGTCATCTCTTTTACGTCCCTTCCATCAATGTTACATTACCAATGATACAATACTTTACAATCTTTCACCCACTCTATATGAATAATTCTAAAGGACAATACTAATGATATTCCATTAATGAATTGGCTTCTCCTTAAAATAGAAAAAGAGTTTGAGGAAGAAGATAATGTGACAAAAGGACTGACCAGGATAGCAACAATATGTCTGATTTTTGGCTGGGACAATCTTGAATTATAACCACCAGCTATAGTGTGCTTTCCACATTTTACATTACTATAGAAACAGACAAAATATGCAAAAAATTTTGATTCCATTATCCTCAATAACTGCCTAGTAGACATTTTTTTTGAAACTTTAAAGGATTCATTTTTAAATTATGTCAATTTAATTTAATTTGTTTAATTCTGCTAAAGAAAAATTGAAACTCTTTGGACAAAGTTTGTCACCATTGCCATGGATAGAGCAAATTAGTTTTTGTAAGACTTTGCTCTTTTCTTTTGGGGGATAAAAATGTTGAGGTCATGTGGCCCTTGTGTATTGTTCTTGTGAAATACTATTCAAATCTGTGAATATATAATACTGCCATATTATACACATAAAACTTCAAGCATTGATATTACACTACTGATGTCAGTTTGGGTGACATATGCTATTGCCTGCAATGGCAAAGTTTCTAGTTATATTATAACATTTTCTACCTGATTATTGGGAAGTATCCTTTGCCAAGATGAGCTAGGACTTGTAAGGACTCCAGCCTTACAGGAAGAGGTTCTATGTGTTCCCCATTCTCCCCAACATTGGGCAGTATGTTCCTTACACACAACTTCACTAGCCAAGACACACTCTGTGCAGTAGCATGTAAACTCAAGTCTGAATACACAGGGGTCTGGACACCTGAGGAGGATCCCATTGGGCTCCCCATTCCTGAAGACAAGGTTTGAACATCTTTGACCTCCTCCATCATGCCTGGTTCAGTATTAGGAGAACAGTTACTCTGACTTCCACTGCTGATTCCAGAGTCTCCACTCACATGATGGTTAGTATTTTGACTGACACTTGTTTGACTGTGTGGTCGGGCTGATTGAATGATGTGGCAAATCTCCATAAGAGGGGGCTGTATGGCTGCCACTGCTCCTAGGCATGTTAAGCATGCCACTCTCACGTTAGGATCTGTAAAACATACTGTATTTAGTGTGTGCTCAAGGGGGGGGGGGGACCATTTGAAAAAAAATGAATCAATGCTACCTAACAATGCTTTCCTATTAATATATGTGGTTTTTGAAAAAAATATTTTCAAACATTTTTTTGCTTTATATTTTGATCCCCTATTGAGTCCCAATCCTATCCCACTGGACACATCTTTGAAGCTACTTTTTGTCAGGATTCTTTCACATAAAGTTCATATTTTCTGACCCAGTGGTTTTAGAGATGATTCTTAAATGACCATGATCTATCTTTCCCATTTCTTGATTATCTCTGCTTGTAAGGGGACATGTCATTTGAAAATGTTTTGATCCTCTTCAACCAAGGATGCTCTTTGCCAAATTTGGTTGAAATTGGACAAGTGGTTTTAAAGAAGTCAAACTGTGTCAAGTTTAACAGAAGAAGGGACAGCTAGACAGGCAGATAGACAGTTGACAGATGAACATCAGCAACAGGTGATCAGAAAAGTTCACTTGAGCTTAGCTCAAGTGAGCTAAATACTCCAAAATTTAAAATTCAGGATACTTTGGATAAAAATTAAAAATCTTTTAATTTTAAATACATGTACCAATTTTATTAAGATTTTTGAACTAAAATTTTAAATTTCTAAATATAGGCTAAGTTTTTGAAATTTATAATTCTTAACTATATGCAGACTTACCTCTATAATTAATGAAATTTCTGATTTGTTTGACAACACGACTAAGTAGCCCTGGTCTCATCCTCGAATAAGGTACATTGGCAATCAGAGTGGATACACACTATAACACACAAATATTATACAAATACAGTATTTTTATTCATCTTGTGAATACACATGTATCAGCACTATTCAAATGCAAATACTTTGGACATCCTTACTGGGGTCTAGAATTATTTTTTTTAAAAATCCACATGCCCATGGGATGGTGATGTCTGAAATTTCACTTGCCCAACTCCAAAATTCACTTGTCATGCCCAAGATTCTTTTATATAAAAAGTACTCATCATTTTTTTTTCTTTTTTCCATATATATTTTTATAGAGATATTATATATTGCTTAAGTTTGTAAAACTGTTCCCCTATTTTGTCCTCATCCTACCCCCAGGTGAAATGATTTGAACAAATTTGAAATCAGCACTACCTGAGGATGTTTGCATATCATTATGACTAGTCATGGTTCTTGAGAAGATCTTAGAAATTTTTTCCCAAATTATTCCATGTAATACTTTGATCTCTTACATTGGCTCAACCCTATCTAAGGGGCCAAAATTTGAACAAACTTAAATTTACACTATTTCCAAAAGCTTCCACATAAATTTAGTGTATAAAAACAAGTGTTAGTCAAAATACTAACCCTATTTTTTTCCTTTTCTTAATCATATACCCTAGGAAGGGGATAATTATGGTTCTTTTATTGAAGAAACTTGAATTTCCTTTATGTAGGATACTCTGTGCCAAGTTTGAAATTTGCCCAATGATTCTGGTGGAATTTTTTTTTTTTAAATTAACAGACAAATAGACAGATGAACTACAGAAAACTTTGATCAGAAAAGCTTACTTAAGCCTTTTGCTCTGGTGAGTCAAAAAAAAATCCATAAAACTAAAACTTTGCTAAGTTAGATCACATGCTATAGGTTTTTGGTCAATGCTCACCTTGATAAGCTGTGTTAGAGTCAGGGGAATATTCTCAGAGACTAACGCTAGCAGAAGACATCTGTGGAGCTCTCTTATTGTAGAACCCAATACAGCAGAAAAAGGAACAAATGTGGCAAACTTCTGGTCACTGGGATCAAATTAAATTTTTTTCATTAAAAATTTAAAAAAAATTTAGTTATAAAAACAACATTCATCATCATGTTATCATTATCATAAATAATCTCAATTTCATTTTTTGTTATCTAACCTCTATATAAAGGGAAATTTAGGCCTAGTTATGCCAAGACTGCAGCTACAGAAAAATTAGATATTTTCTAAAATTTATAACAAAACCCCTTATTTTTCCTAACAAAAAAGGTCAAACAAATCAGCAGATATATGGTTCAGAAACTTTCATTTTATGTAATAATGGCTTCAGTGCTAGTTCACCTATCTTTTCTAAAAGATAAGGTTGTATGTACATACAGTCAAACCTCATTACCTCAAACTTGACGGGACCAAATTAAACCTCAGGATATCCAACGATTCAAGATAACAAGGGCAGAAAATATAAAGTAAAAGTTGTTGGGACTGCAAATGCACTTCAACATATCCCTAATATTCAAGATACTTTGGAATCATCATTGTTCATGGAGGTCAATGTTTGTGGGTAACAAAATTTTACTGGTTCATGGGGATGTAATTTTGTGGGTAAATTGTGTGTTTTATTAAGATTGATAACTCTACTGTACTCGAGGTGTGTGTTTCAGTGTTCGTGGGAATGTAAATTCATAGGTAAGGATTTCCCAAGAAATCCTCGAACATTGATTTCCCACGAACAATAATGATTCCACTGTATTGGAGTTCCAGATAACAAAGTTCAACTGTATAGTAAATGTACAGTATCTGCCTAGAACACATTACTTTTCTATAGGTTCTAGAATACTATGCATTGTAACAATAATAATTAATTGTTTATTACCTGTCATCTGCAGTTGCCAGTAGAGTTTTTGTGCCATCAATAAGAGCTGTCAAAGCTGCAAGAGCTCCCATTCTGCACTGTCAAGGGAAATAATTCAAATACTTACAGTTTCAGATATTCTGAAAGTATGCTTTCAAATACTTTTATATATATGCACATAAAAGCAGTAAAAGTAGCAAAAAAACCCCGTGCATAACATAGCCTGAATAAAGCAGCATTATTAACCATAGTCTTGTTATTACTTGAATGTCAAATATCTTGTAAGGAATTATAGTAAAGAATTTCATAATGTCAATGAAAACTTGCCTTTGGGGAGGGATCTTTCAGAATGACAGTAAAGAGTGTGTGAACTTGAGGACTATTACCAGCTGCAGTGGAATCAGGTATAAATGATGACCAGTATCCAAACATTACTCGTTTATTGATGCTCTGGTTTAAGAGAAGCAAAAAATATCATGAACAAAATTACATAAATTTTTAAGATTTCTTTCTGAGCACTATCTACATTAAATACAACAGGTCGATAGGCTGCAAAACTAGCCCGAGTCTTCCTGGCCCTGCTTTTCTTCAAAATATTTCTATCAAAAAGATTTCCTCCCTCTTCATTCACAACAAAAATCTTGATCCCATATTATGGCCCTATCCTAGCCTCATGGGGTCATAAAATAATCATACTTGAATTTACACACTACATGAGGATTTTGAATATCAATATGAATAATGTGGTTTTGCTGTTCTGAAAAGATTTTTAAGATTTTCCCTATTTACATGCATTACATAAATTATCCCTGATTTTAGCCCAATTCTAACCCCCAAATCCATTTTCTGATCAAACTTAAATCTACATATGGAATTGTTTGCAAATCAAATGAATTACTGCTGCCTTACTACTCTTGAAATTTGTTTAACTAGAAATATGTCCACAAGACACAAATGCTTTATCAAAGGTACACTTGCAATACAACCTAAAAAGAAATGTACCATCCTTCTTTGGTCCAAATAATAGTAAAATATGACAAAAGTATGAATAACTTTTATGAACATGTATTTTTCACATACAGAACTTAGGAAACTGCAAAAATGAAGTACAGCTGTAATACTAGTGAAGTCAAGATCATTGGAAAGTAAGAAAATAATAATAAGTGGAAGTTTGATTATAAAATCTTCAAAAGTGAAGGTCAAGGGATAAACAAAGTCATAAGGAAGTTCAAGGTCAAAAATTTATGACAGTGTTAAATTGTTCTTCCCAATATGTAACTTTATATAAAGTTTAATAAAGATATCTTGAAAAGTAAAGGTCATAGAAAAGATCATGGCAAAATAATATGTCAAGTACAGTTGAATAATTCTCATCAGTTTGTATTAGTGTTTTAAGTTTGATGAAAAAATTATAAACAGTTACTTCATAACTGTGCTAAATGCAAAATAATTAATAGTGAAGTCAAGGTCATGTGGAAGGTCAAGGTCAGAAAATTTTGACACAGTTGAATAGCCCTTCTCAATTTGTATTGATGAAGTTTGAAGAAATATCACGGACAGATTCTTTGAACATAAATGCAAAATAAGGAATAGTGGAGTCAAGGTCATAGAAAGGTCAGGATCAGAATAGTAAAATATCATGAACCATTTCTTTGAAACTAAGTTAAATGCAATATCCTACAGTGGCACCATTCTACCCCGAGGGCCATGATTTAAGGAAGCTTTCACATAAGTTTCATCTTTTATAGAGAAGAAAGTTTTTTAAGAAACCCCCATGTTTTTTGGATTTTCTTGATAATCTCCCCTTTCAAGAGGGTGTGACCCTTCATTGGAAGAAAAAACCTTATTTCCCTTTACTCAAGAATGCTCTGTGGCCAGTTTGGTTGAAATTGGTCCAGTTGTTCTTGACAAGAAGTCAAAATGGGAAAAGTAACAAAAAGATGGTTAGTCAGATGGACCAACAGAAAGACAGATGACGGACGCCAAGTGATCAGAAAAGCTCAGTTGAACTTTGGCTTCAGGTGACCTGAAAATTTTTTTACCTTTATTGTTGTGTGCAAACAGGCAAGAGCACATTGTCTGACTTTGGCATGCAGTGACCTCAATCTTGAACTCTGACCTCCTTCGGTGTCAGAATACTCAGATTCTGAACTGCTAATTTTTGCCCAGTTGGGTCTAGAAGAAAAAACCTCTACAGCTTTAGGTCTTGTAAACTCTAATTCATCATTTTCATCATCCTCTCTCTCCTGTGATGATTTTGACGTTGTGTTCCTATTTGTCTCTGCTCCTTTCTTTGCCTTTTTCTTTTTGTACTTTTTAACACCTCCAGATTTTGCTGAAGAGTCATTTGTCTGTGACTCTGACTTTGTGGGGCTTGATGGGGAGGGGTCATACTGACTGAGGGGTGTGGGGTATAGACTTTCTGGTACAGCAACTGGAGCACCAGGCAGTCCATGAAACATAAAAACCTTAAAGACAAGACAATCTGAATCATCAAAATAATTCCTACAAACTACATGTATAAGCACTCAAAGATCACAATGTCAGCACAATCCTTTTTCTGGAAATTCATGTACATTACACTATATTACTGTGATGAAGTAGTAACTTTCATAATATCTTTCTATTTTTCTTATCTTATAACAATGCTATCTAGATTTAATGAAATACAAACCCTTATCCCTGCCAACAGTGGTCCCAAGTTCTCAGATGGCATTATTTTGGTTGCTGTCAACAAATTGTGTAACCCTCTCAAACTGCATATCAAAATCTGCAAAATAGTAACAAGTTCTATTTACTGTTGTACAAGTTCAAATAAATAGTATACAAAAACAATTAATCATTTGAGATTTTTATTAATAAAAAAGTACAGACAAGATGTGTTTGATGCCCCAATATCGCAGCTAATGGCCAAGGTTAACATTTTTTAAAGTCTCCAAGGTCAACATCTAGAGGTCAAATATGTTGGTACCCAAAGAAAGGTCTTGTCAGAAGGAACACACATGTGAATTATGAAAGCCATGGCATGAACAATTCCAGAGTTATGGCCAAGGTTTAAGTCTTTAAAAAGTACCTGGTAAGCTAAACTCCAAGGTAAAAAATATTGGTATTCAAAGAAAGGTCTTGTCACAAAGAATACAAATGTGAATTATGAAAGCCCTAGAACTACTGTTTAAAAGTTATGGCCTAGGTTAAAGTTTTCCAAAAGTAGGGTGGACTCCAAGATCAAGGTCAAGAGGTCAAATATGTTGGTACTGAAAGAAAGATCTTGTCACAAGGAATACACATGTGATATATGAAAGCACTAATTGCAACTTTTCAAAAGTTGTGGGCAAGGTTAAAGTTTTTGACAAATAGATAGACAGGCAGACCAAAACTAAATGCCCCAAATCTTCAATTATTGGGCATAAAAATCTCCTTTCAGTGATGGATAATACATTTCCTGCATAGTACCTTGCACTGTGTTCCTGACTCCATGTTAGCAACAGGTACTCTATGTAAAAGTTCCAATAAAATCTGGAAGCACAGAGCAGCATATTGTTCATCCATATACTCCTCACTGGACATTCTTCAAAACAAGTTAAAACTGCTTTCAATTTTCATAACATCCAGGGAAAACAATCAATACTAAACACTGTAGTTGAAAAAGAAGCATGCACTATCTCTCAACCATGTATCTATCACTGCTGCTAAGAGTTTTAATGCCCTGTTCTCACACATTAAACTCTGGTTTTCTTTAAATTTAATGTATTTAGAAAAAAAAAAACTTCTGAAAGAAAGCACTGACGAAGAAAAAGAGACCAAAATTAGAATTAGTAATCAAATCTGGCCTTGAGACCATAAACTGAGAACAGACTTAAGTCAAAATTTTGATTTTGAATATCTTGACCTTTATTAAACATATGTTCTTTAAAATTTGCAGGTTTGTATAATATTCTAATTAAAACACATGTCAATTGACGAAAATTTTGTTTCGTTATGAAAATTATTTCAAAAGTTACATTGTTTCGAAATTTTGACTTAAGTCTGTTCTCAGTTTATGGTCTTGGGGCCTGGGCTGAATGAAGATTTGAATGACAAATATTAATGTCTGGATGTTATGGAAGCATATGATATGGTGAATTCTGTAACAGATATGTAAGTTGTGATTTTAAACTTTTTTTTAGTAACTCAGAGCACAGTTCAAACTAATGAAGCTATTTTTATTGATGCATGTACATAAAACTAAGGACTATACTTCAGTTGCTGTACACTGGTTGTTGGTTTTGTATTTCTTAAGATTCTATTATGACTTTTCTTAATTATATTTTGAATATCTTTAACTAATACACTAGCTTTCCCTCTTTTCTTAAATATTAAGGATAAATTTTAGTTCATGTAAGTGCAAGGATGTATGACAATCAAACATGCCCGAAATTCAAAGTTTCAATGATTTTCAGACAAAGAAGTTTCTAAACACTCTTTTATAATACATGCATGGATATCGGTCTGAAGTGCTCTCGAGCATGTAAGTCATAAAATTATACCAAAAATTTTGAAGGTTATAAACTTCAAATATGAGTCAATATAGTCCCTTAGTGTAGGGTCATGCACATAACAGCAAGGATCAAACAAGCTTTATGTTAATATTCCAGATCTGTAACCACTGTCTTTTGAATACATGGAAAACATTGATCCACTGATCTTTTAAATACCAAGTCACCTGAGTAACTTTGGCTTCGCTGTTCTTTTTAAGATTTTAAAAATATTTTACCCCCTCTTTATTTCCATGAAACATTTTGATCTCATCTTGTGGGCCTACCCTACAGTCAAGGGGTCATGTCTTAAATGAACCTGAATCCACATAACATGGGAATGCTTGAATTTCAATATGACTAACATGGCCTTGTTGTTCTGAAGACAAAAGACTTTTTAAACCTTTCTTTCCAAAATATATGCTTAATAATATGTAAAATTTTAGCCCCCTTCTCACACCAGGGTCCATTATTTGTATGAGACCCATGGGCCACAAGACTCACCTGAATCACCTTAGCCATGCTGTTTTTCATAAGATTTACTTTAACACCCTATAATAACTGTACACCCACTCTACCCACAAAGGCAAGTTTTAAAGTTTAAAACAACATTATGTCATGAAATATTCACTTAAGATTTGTCTTTCCTGGCCCATTGGTTCTTAAAGAGATATTTAAATGATGCCACTGAATTTTCACCATGGTTCTGAACAAGAAGTTGAAAATGTGAAAAGAACATAAAAAAAACTTGGCTGACAGACAGAGGGACAGGGGACACTGGATGCTCTTCATTCAAAGCTCATTTTGCCTTTGCTAATGAATGTATACCTGAAAGTAAGGTTCTCCACACACTGTACTGCTCCCTTTAAAATATCCTCACTGGTGGCATTTTCTTTAATCAGTGGAATTAGAACCCCTTGAGGCCCAAGTAGCACTTCATGAAACTAAAAAAAAAAAAAACAAAGACAAATCAACAACTAAAGAAAATAAAACTTGAATTATCTTTCAAGTTAAATAATTTTACTGCATATTAACCTGAACTAATCTGTCAACATTTTCATAAACCACAGCTCCCAGTGTCTGCAGAATCTCAGCAGTGGCCCAGTGGGATATTCTCTGTACAGCCTTCACTAAGAAATCTGTGGCACTCCATAGTACCTGATCCTCCAGTGACAGCTGTAAAAAAGAAATCAAAGTTAAAATATTTAAGGTAGTACATGCACCATCAAATCAGTTTCAACTCATCTCTTCCTAAAGACACCAGATAATGAAAAAAATCACTGTCAACAATCAATGATTTTGTAAAAAAAAAAAATTATACACTATGACATATCATTGTCCTATTTTCGACATTTGGGAGCCTACATTTAGAATGTGTTTATGTCACCTACTCATTTTTCTTTTGATTCCTTCAAAGTAGAAACCTGATATTTGAACATATGTATGAATAATACTGATTGTACATGCTTGTAGGCATGTAACTTTTAAATGTACACAGTTTAATGTCAATGCATCATAAAATATAGTTATATGTATTTCTTGAAAAAAGTTATCTTACCTCCCCCATCACAAGGACTGTTTCCCTAAATAATAGTTTTACCTACCCACTCCTTGAAAGCAATGCAGACACACTTCATAAAATTTTCAGAGAATATCAAGCAAAAGTTTCAAAAGCAAACCCACAAACTACTTTAAACTTATGTTGCCCCCCATCCCTGGCTTGATAAAAATTTATTTTCTTATTATTATAAATATAATCTTACTTGTTGTTTTGCTGTCAGGCTATGAATAATCTGGCACACTTTTACTGTTATCTGTTCCTCATAAACTGGTATTATTCTGCATACATGGCAAATTAAACTGTTGGCATCCTAAAAAAGAGTATTTTGCATTTAAGGAATTTGCATATACAGAGGCTTGTATTCTGAATAGTTCTGTTGAGATCCACATAAGTGATACATATACAGAGTTCAATGGAGTTTAATGTAAGGAGATTTCTGGTAAAGCATCTCTGATCAAGCAGGTGTTACCTATATATACATCTCTTGGGAATTGGGCAGAGGAAATCTAACCTCTTAATTGCAATTGATAATTTGTGTCGGATTAAATAGTTCTTGTTGGCTAGCCAACAATTAAAACTAAATAAAACTAATTTGATATTGTACAATATAATTTTTTATACATCTACAACAAATTACATAGTGCCATGTCTCACTAAGATGACAATTACAATATAGCAATAAATCCATTATTTTTAAAATCATAGCAGAAATTAAACAAGTCATCTGTTTGAAATTTGGGATGCAGAGAAACTGAAATTTGGAATGCAGAGAAACTGACAAAATGAAACTAGTTTTCCACTATTAAATAACTTAAATTTTCGTTTTCTGACTAGCAATCCCCAAAATTAAAACAAAGTCAAACCGAAAGTATTTCTGGTGACAAATTGAAATAATGACGATTTTGATTAATGAACAATGATGCATACTGAATAAGTAACTGAGAATTACTTGCTTACAGTTTATTTCATGTCCCGCCATTATCATGTTATCATATCCTGTCCAAAATCTCAGGCATAATGAGCTCATTAGAAAATGGCCTTCAGATGTTAGAGTCCGAGGTATACAAGGAGCGTAGGGACGTTAACCGAGGCTCTTACTTGTAGGAATAATGCAGAATGGAGATAGTAATGGTATTTTGGGGTAACCGTTTTGTAGATGAATTCATGGCCATAGGAAATAGGGAGGGGGCACAGGGGGGACATGCCCCCCCTCCCCCAATAATTTTGGCGTCCCCTCCAATTTAAATGTTTGGTTGCCCCCCCCTCCCCCAACTAAAATTGCTTCCTATGGGTCTGAAATTACTGTACAGTAGAAGCTTGTAAGTGACAGCTGGGTAGCAGACACATTTCCACTACCTTTTCGAAAATTACTGCAAATCTCAGGAGGTGGTACACTACGAATTTTGGAGTTAGATACTTTGTGTTAGTATGCTATGCCGTATGAGGGTAAACTTTTAGTACATAAACTGTTAACATACCTCTTCATCAACAAACTTCTGTGAATAATCTAAAGCTATTAGCTCGTCAATCAAGACGTTGATGTCAGTTTTAGACGAGACATCATCTCTGTACGTTATTTTAAGCAGTCTTTTCAGGCAGTTTTGAAATGTAACTTTCTCACCATGGTGAGAATTTTCCATCTTTTCTAATTTCTCCTGTGCACTACGATCCCGATCTTTAAAATAAAGCATAGGAGTACTCATTAATTTAATTTAGTATTCATGTCTTTGTCTTTAAAACAATTTATGCATTTTTTGTAAAGTATAAATTATTTTTTCCATCAAATTCTTATTTTCTAACATATAAATCATTCAGGTGTTGTTAAATAGATATTTTTTCTGCATCGAACATTTAAAAATAATAACTACCCCATTCAAGATGGCAGCCCCCTTGACAGTGCTCGGGATATGCTACAGCCGACGAGAAAAGCCTATCAGCAGTATAGTTTTCCGACTATTGTCAACAAATTCATCCCTACAAAAAGAAAACAGAAAAAATGGAGAAACTAAAAAAACCCATTTTGGGTTTCAAACTGTCGCAGAAGATGAGAAGGAAGAAAGAGGTAAGCATAAGTAGTAAGCAGGGTAGGGTATAATGTCCTGATAATTTAAAGCCCTGATTAACTATATATAAATATAAATAAATAAATAAATAAATAAATAAATAAATAAATAAATAATATATATATATATATATATATATATATATATATATATATATATATATATATATATATATATATATATATATATATATATATATATATATATATAAAATAAATGATGAAGTAAGAGTTTTTAGGTTTTTAAGTTCATAAACCGATTTCTTTTTAATTTAGCTGATTATAATTGACAGATACTCATTTTCCCCCATAAGAATCATGAATTCAAAGAAAAAAATGTAAGAAATATATCTTATTTTGTTTATTTGACAGATAAAGTTGCCTGTGATATCCTGATTTTGGGGTATCATGACCTGATGGTCTGATAATATATAAACTTATAATAAAAGCAAGTTTTCATTATATTTGTTTATTTATCATATTTTTAGGTATGAGAAATAAAAGTTATACAATGAAATTTTAGATTAAATACTTCTTATCCATCATTCAAAAGCACTTATGAAGTTTAACAAGGGTACAATGTCCTGATTTTGAATGCCCTGATTGTCGCTATAATGACCAAATTCGTTGAAAGTTATGAATGTGTTTCAGAATTTGATGATAATTTAATGTTCAATCACTTAATTTATTTGTTGTTATCAAGTTTAAAATATTTTAAGTTGATATTTAAATATAAACACTTTTATGGTAGAACTCTTAGCCATGCATAATCAGGCTTTAAGTGACCTTTTAAATTTAGGCACCAGCTGGCTCCTCATGAAAAAAAAATTAGTCAACATTGCAAATTTTTAGTCGCCATGCAAATTTTTCTTAGGCGCTAACTTTCAAAGCTGATATTAATCAGCATAAGCACCCATGGGGGTAGTCTCAGGAGGCAGGTTCTAAATTGCTATCACAACAAAAAGAAGTAAAAAATCAACATGAAATACAAGCCAATTAAATGCCAAGAGGTTTTAACTTAAGCATGCATGTAAAACTCCATTGTCTCAAGCCACAATATAGCTCTCTCATATCGGCTAGAATGGGAGAGGATTGGACATTTTCACAAACCACAACGATGGTAAAACTCTTGCATTCAAAAAGTTTTAATCATTTTTTAAGAAAGATAGATCTAATGAAATATTTTTGAAAACTATAATAATACCAAGGTTGTTTACACAATTTACATTAATGCTTGCCTGTACAATTCCGACCTAACATATCTCTAATGAGTGAGAATTTAATTGACAAACAATTGCGACCACATCACCCGTCCAATTTACTGCATTTCACAATTGTCAATTTTTTGGAGCCAACAATTACCTGGGACTGCTATTGTCTTATCTGTCTACATGAGCTCTGTGTGCACTGACATGACACAAAATTTCGTTCACGTGTGTGACTAAAAAAAACAAACAAAGTGACAAAGAAAACACGTCCAATTCTAATTTTTAAACTTCTTTTCTCCTCTTTAAAAAAAAAAAAACAAACGTTGAAAATGTCTATAGTTCTGGAATTTGACAATCACCAATTCAATTTAAAATGGTGCCAATTTGGCGACTTATAGAGAAATTTTAGGCGCCAATAAAAATTTTTAGACACCATGTTGATAATTATACAACACATTATACAACTGAATTTTATCTAGAAACCATACTTGATTGCTTTGAAAGACAATGTGGCTTGATTATCTCATGAATTTCACCCACTGCAGAGGACCAATAAGATATAAGTTACTGTCAATTGCCAGTGTGTGTACAGGCCTTTACTGCTGAAAATATTGCAGCATTTCTGCATTAAATTTGATGGTTTTGGCCCATCCCTTAAGCCTCAGGAAGGAAGAGAACATGAAATTCACGATTTTTGTTCCTCTCCTTGCCCATAGATGCTTAATACCAAAATTGATTGAAATTGGTTTAGCGGTTTTAGAGAAGAAGCTGAAAATGTTCAATTGTTAACAGACTTTGGTTGGCACACATCGCATGAGAATGGATGAAAACAGATACCTGAAAAGGTCACCTTTGTGACCCAGGTGACCTAAGTTAGGAGTTAAAATTGTAAAATATTTTCTTTATTACAGTGTACAAAGTTTTTAAGAATGTTGCCAGCAAGTATGACTTAATGAATGATTCTATGAGCTTTGGCATACACAGACTATGGAAAGATCACTTCATAAACAGAATGGCTCCTGTAGCAGGGACCAAGTTATTAGATGTTGCTGGAGGTACAGGTATGGTTTGTATTTGTATATCATGGTATACTATAAGTATATAAAACATAGCTTTAGACTGAAGAATAAAAGAGACATAGCTGAGGTTTTTTTTAATTAAATATCACTGTGACATCATTGTCTTGGTTATTAGCTCACCTGAGACAAAGGTTCAAGTGAGATTTTCTGATCAGAGTTTGCTTGTATTGTCCATTTGGTGAAGATGACTAAAATTTATTTAAATTTTGGGCCATGCCCTTTTCCAAGGGTAGACATTCAAGAAAAGGCAAGAAAATATCTTTTTCTCAAGCATTATATGGCTAGAATAGATGAAATTTATGTGAAAGCTTCCTGTCATATTGTAAATATGAATTTGTTCAAATATACCTCCGGGGGTAGGGTGGGAATACAACAGTAGATCAATTTTTGAGAATATGTAGGGAAAAATCTTAAGAGATCTTCTTCTCAAGAACAGAGCCATGATTAAACTTAATATTAATATGCAAGTATCCTCAGATTGAGAAGATTAAAATTTGTTATCAGTTAAAATCATGGAATGCCAAGGCCAAGGTGACGACTCAATTGGGCATTGATAGTGTCCCATGGGCCTCTTGTTATGAAAATATAGTGATCATTTACTTATTGTTTCATCATTTTCTCATTGATTTCAAATGATGTGGACATATTTCTGCAACAAAAATTTTGTAGGTGATATTGCATTTCGATTCCTGAAGTATATACAGTCCCAGAATGAAAAACCAGTGGTGACAGATGAAAATTTTACCATTTCTACAAACTTAAATGCTGGAGCTTATTCCATTCCCAGTGATTTTGCTGAGGAGAATGAAGAAACTGTAGATTTATCTGATTATAAAGAGGACACTTCTCATGTAACAGTGTGTGATATCAACCAAGAAATGCTAAACGTGGGGAAATCTCGAGCTGAAGAGGCAGGAATAATGTCAGGTAATCATAACAATCTTTGAATGCCTCAGAATTATTTTTTGGTATCCCTTCATCAAACATTGAAAACATTTGGTTTGTAAAACTACTACTAATTAACTTCATCACTGAAGTAGGTAATCTTCCTTGGATAATTTTTTTTATCACTCAAATATATGTTTTACTTGGAAATAATAACATACCTGCAAAAAATTGTCCCATTTGATAATTTTTATCAACATCACTCTTTCTTTCTCATAAGCATTACCTGAATTTATGTTTCATTTATTATGAATAGGTATTTCCTGGGTTCAAGGAAATGCAGAGAGTTTACCTTTTGAAGACAATACTTTTGATGCTTATACAATAGCATATGGAATCCGCAACTGTACCCACATTGATAAAGTAAGGGTGTTTTTATTAAATTTTCTTAGGAGCCCCTGTAAGAAAAGGGTTTCACTTACATTATTCCACTTTGACATAGTTTGCTTGTGTGATTATCTGTGTACTTTTTTACTAGAATTGAATTTGCCAGCATGTAGGTGGTGGCTTGTCTGCAGACATCTTTTTTATTTCAAAATACAGATAGGATGTTTCCACAAGGTCCATTGATACTCTAATAAGACGGATAACTCATAATCAGATGAATATCTACTTTTCCTTTGTAAATTGGTCAAGTTAAATGGTCTTTTCTTACCAATTTTGTCCCACAAGCTATGCTAAAAATGTTTGCATTTTACTTATAAAAACCATTTCATCTGGAAAATCATAAGCATTAAACATGTGAAAGCAAAATTTTATATGAGTGAATAGAGGGATTATAATCCTTAAGCTGAACACTATGGTCCTTTTTTCTGACCCCTCTGATATTATGGTAAAAAAAAATCATAAATATATTATTTTGAAACAAAATAAATTTGTTATTGATCTGTTTATAATGCTGCTAGATTTTGTCAAGTAAAAACTTCCAGAATATACCAGAACTCACCAAAACATACTTATTCTTTAAAAAAATCTAGTGTAGGGGAGGGAGTATGCTTCCAAGATCGTCCCCTGCACTTCTCTTTTCTGAATCAAAGATTCCAGGGCATAAAGCTTTTGCCCTTTCCATCTGTCTGCTTGTTTGTTTGTACGCAAAAACTTTAACCTTGCCCATAACTTCTGATTGGTTGGTTCTTGGGCCTTCATACTTCACATGCATTCATTGTGACAAGACCTTCCTTTAGATACCAACAACTTTGACCCTTTGACATTGACCTTGGAGTTTGACCTACTTTTGAAAACTTTAACCTTGGCCATAACTTTGGAAAAGTTGGTGCTAGGGGTTTCATACTTCACCTGTATATTCCTTGTGACAAGACCTTCCTTTGGATACCAACAGTTTTGGCATTGACCCAATCTAATTAAAATTAGATGTTCCGAATTCGCTACCACTTTTCAAACATCTAACAACATCCCATTTCGGGTTCGTGTCAGAACGACCTTTTGATTAGCCAGTGAAATCGCTGCCTGCGAAATCTTAACTTATAGTATGGATGCATTTCTTTTTTCACTGCCAAACCTAAATGCCCGAGGAGTTTCAAAGTAAACAAAATATGTATGGCAAAGGCCATGCTATGTTTGAATGTGATGTGCTGTAGAACTTGTTTTATAGTTTGTGCATTTTTGTTTGCCAGTCTGTAACACACTCAATTTATACCAAAATTACTTTAATTCAACATAAGACAGACTACTGAGTATAAATAATGTTAATATGTAACCGTAGAACTAATTTTAGAATCGTACACAGAAGCTTGAATCTGATTGGGCAAAATTTTTATGTTTATTCCTAATCGAGAGGTCGCTCTGACGTGGCCCTGATTTGGATGTTTTTAGATGTTTGAGAAGCGGTAGCGGATTCGGAACATCTAATTTTAATTAGATTGGGCATTGACCCTGACCGTGGAGTTTGACCTACTTTTAAATAATCTTAATCTTGGCCATAACATTTGAACGTTAGGTTCTAGGGCTTTCACATTTCATGAAAATGTGTATCACTTGTGACAAGACCTTCCCTTGGGCACCATTTGACCTTGACCTTTTATTTACTTTTAAAAAAAACTTTAACCTTCACCATAACTTTTCAACGGTTGGTACTAGGGCTTTTGCATTTCAAAGGTATATTCCTCGAGACAAGACCTTGAGTACCAACATTTTTGATCTCTTGACCTGGAGTTTGATTACCCAAGGGGCCATGATTAGAACAAATATGCACATGCATCTACACTGTTTGGATACTTAACCATGTTAACTAATTGGAATCTTTGATAAAAGCTTAATTTTCATAGACTTAGATTATTGCATTTGAGAAACTTTAACCTTTAATGCTATAAGCTGCCAAAAGGGGGCAACAGTGTTTCACCAACACATCTTGTTTTTTTAACTATTGGAAGAAGGCTAGTGTCAGAATAAGCTCCATCGTGGTACTTGTACTTAAGTACTTTTCCAGTCCAGAACATTTTAAGGAATGATGCATTAAAAAAGACATGTCTTAATTAATTTATTTTGATTTGCATATACCACAGAACAAAGGACACAATATAAAAGCAGAAATAAATACTATTTAAATCTGTTTATTTCCTCTCGAATTTGAATTTACTAACATTTCAAAACACTGAAGGGATCATTTCAAAGCAGAAAGATCTATTGATTGAATCTAGTTTGATGGCCATGTTTTAATGTAATTTATTTTGAGATATAATGCAAGAAGGGATAATGTTGGTACCTTGGGACAGACTATATACCAAAATAGTGAAATTCAAGTCTCATAGGTCCTGGCTACAAGGTTTGGGTACATTCGTAATATTTTATTCATTCATTATACCTTTTTAAATTTTCTTTATTGGTTGGAAATTAGCAAGAAGAATTTATGCATGATGACAAAAACTATTCATGACCTAGCTTGTGTATTTACATGTATTTACGGCTCAGAAACCAGGATGGGACCAACATGAAATTAATTATATTAAAAATGCTTTTTATCTTTAGAAATCTTAATTCGTGAACTTCTAGGAGAGATGAGCTTTATGATTAGATATTAATTAACATGGAAGTCCTCACCAAATATTGTAAATTCATGTCACGTGGGTCCAGAGTATGAGTTTCAGATGAGAAACTCATGATTATCAGATGACCATCAAGGCTTTGGACCTCTTGTTACCAAACCTTAACAGCTATTTTCTTTTCTTTTAAACCTTAGGTTTTAACAGAGGCATACAGGGTACTGAAACCTGGAGGACGATTTATGTGTTTGGAATTTAGTCAAGTCAATAACATAGTTTTACGTAGGTAAGTATAAGAAAAGTTTCATATTCCAAGAGTAAAATATGGTAACGGTACTGGTACTTTGACATTATAAGTATAAGTATATGCACTCACTTGTGTTTGAAATAACCATGCACCCGACCGCCCGATACGCACAAATTTTGCCACGCATGAACAGATTTGCACGTATCAATGCCCGATTGAACGTGTTAAAATTTGCCATAAATTAAAATTCATATATTTGATAAATATCTCTCAAATCAACTAATATTATTGGTAGCTAAGTGTAACAAGCAAAGGGGTAGAGTTTGACAGCCTATAGATATGGTGATCGTGCCCCATTCACATTATCGATAAAAACAAATTTATAAAAGACTTTTATTTTCTCAGGCTAGTAGAGTTTTGGCAGGGCTGACAACTCTCACTTGCAGTCAGCCCTGCATGTCTAGCTAATTATGTTCCCCAAACGAAGTTTGGGAACATATTGTTTTTACTCTGTTTCTTATTATTATTAAGTCTTCCGTTCACAACGGAAGACTTATAGTGATTGTATTGTTTCTTTTTATTAAGTCTTCCGTTCACAACGGAAGACTTATAGTGATTGTATTGTTTCTTTTTATTATTATTATTATTATTCCTCCCAAATTTTGTGAGCGCGATTACTCAGAGATGGTTGGATAGATTTTCACAATTTTTCACATGATAGTAGGCTGATATATGAAGTTTATATAAAATTCCGTTTTTTGAAAAATTCACTTCCGGTCCGAAGTTACGGCCGAATTTCCAATTTTTAAATGGACTTTTGTCCGGAATTTTTCTCGAAAACGGTTTGAGGTAAAGATGTGAAATTTACAGGAGTATTAGATCATGACATTCTCTTTGTTTCGAAGTTGTTTTCGTGTGTTTCCGGTACTTCCTGTCCGAACCGGAAGTGAATTTGTGTTTGGTCAATTTTCAACTTTTTTGTTTTTCAATATTTTTTCAAGATATTATTATGTATAACAGAGGTTATTCTACAAATACTAAATATATAATTTGTTTTAAAATTGGATTGCGCATTTTCTAGATTTTAGGTACCGTCATTTTCCCCATTTACCTAGTGTGTATACAATGGGCAAAGAAAGATAACTCTGACTTGTAAGTGAGAATAGAACTTTCGAGATAAAGGCGGAAATAGTATCGATGACGTCAGAGACATATACACTCTCCATATCAAAAATATTTAGACGTTCCATATGCACTCTTCTAAATGTAAGAGTACGTTGGTTACCGCTTCCAGTGCATGTATAGTTTAAAGTTGCCAATGTAGTGTAAGCCTGTATTGACAGTTAATTGATTTACACATGAATATATCTAAAAAAAAATAATATATATGCTAGGTACCTAATTCAAGTAAATATATTATAAGCACTGAATATACATTTATAGTGATGGACAGGCATGCAATTTTATCTATCTCGTATAGTAAGTTCAGAATACGATAGTTATAAACTTTCTATAATGTAGACGATTTATTATTCTCTATGATTTGAATGCGAAATTATCCCGATTTCCGAGTTTTATTTTCGATATTAAAAAAATATTACATACATTCAAAAAGGAATTGAGCGATAGAAAATTGTAATACAGTACTGTTTTAAAGCCTTTATAAATAAATTGATATCTGCCACTTAAAAGAAAGAAAATCAATCTATAGATTAGATTTGGTTATTACATGTATATTTGATAAAAAGTTAAATTATTTTTGACACATGATCTATACTCTATATACCCAAGGAATTATAAAAGATGTGAAAAGACGATTCTTGGATTCTTGTGAAATACTCAAAGAGTTAAAAAAAAAATATGTGAAAACGCGATTCTGTGTGAAATAATGGTACGCTATATGTTTCTTTTGAAAAAAAAAAAAACATGATAAAAAAAATTGCACAGGTCTCTTGATATGTGGGATAAGTATACCTGAATGAACACAGTTTTATGCAATGATATATAATTATGTACATGCAACTGACGTCCGTACTTTTCCTTATAATTCATAAAACATAAAACTATCTAATTCCTTTGAAGCCTCCTCCCCTCCCCCCCCCCCCCCCCCGTCATGATTAATATTTGGAGACGTTCGTGCAGCTAGGCATTTGAATTATATATTCGTTTTAGATTTAAATCTGGAACATGTGAATATAATTACCATTTACATGTATACAGAATTTCATATTCTATAATGGTAGATTTGTCATTATGAAATGTTCAATTTACGTCTGAGAGAGAGAAAGAGAGAGAGAGGGGGGAGAGAGAGATTCCCTCTTGATCCCGATCCTCCTATCCATTTACATAGACCAAAAATTAGTTCTATATCGGTCACACCCATTCTTTATTAAATGTTTTCTGATTTCATAGTCAGTCATGGTCACATCCTGTATATTTTTCAGCTTAAAAAGTATCACACGAGGTGCACGTGTGTTGACCTGTCAATCAAAATCACTTGACGCTGTATGCAATGCAATTAAGTAGCCTGAGTTTGAAATGATCTTGAAGTACGATCTTTAAGTAAATCTGATGCAACAAACTTGTAAAAAAAATAGAATAAAATAAAAAATAAAATATCTCGGTATTATGAACTTCGATTGTGGGACGTGGAGACCGGTCCTTTGGATGAGATCGTATAAATTGAGGTCCCTTGTCGCAGAAGGTGCTGGCATAAAAAAGATTCCCCACTGCTCAATTGCGATAAGTGCCAAAGTATAGGACAAAAATTTGCAGTCTCCACCGGCGAGTGGTGGCGTCTCCATGTGAGTGAAAAATTCAAAAATTCTGGAGAGGGACGTTAAACAACATACGTATAATCAATCAATCAATCAATCGATTGCTGAAGAATTGCTGTAAATGAATAATCTGTCTTATAGGTATGCTGTCAAATCTTGATATTATAACTTTACAAAATTCAGTGACTTTACGTTTAGTGTGATACTAACTTAATTCATTATATTTTTTTATAACACCATCACAATTATGTTAAAATATACACACAATGAAGTTTATGATAGTACGGTGTTCGTTCGTCTGTTTGTTTGTCTTAGAAATGATTGCATACAATTTTTTTTTTAAATTGCTAATGATATACGTTTATCTCTTATAGGTGCCAAATGTATTATACAAGATTGATAATGAAAATCAAAGTACCTTAAGTACTGAAAGGACTTTTTTCCAGTTATTTTTTTCTTTCACAGTAAATATGATATGTATGTTTTTTACACAGAAAAAAAGCAAATTCTTACAGATTTAGAAGAACGGAAGACTTTTTTGTTGCCATGGCAACAAGAGTCTAGTTATTAAGTCTTCCGTTCACAACGGAAGACTTATAGTGATTGTATTGTTAAGTCTTCCGTTCACAACGGAAGACTTATAGTGATTGTATTGTTTCTTTTTATTATTATTATTATTATTATTCCTCCCAAATTTTGTGAGCGCGATTACTCAGAGATGGTTGGATAGATTTTCACAATTTTTCACATGATAGTAGGCTGATATATGAAGTTTATATAAAATTCCGTTTTTTGAAAAATTCACTTCCGGTCCGAAGTTACCGCCGAATTTCCAATTTTTAAATGGACTTTTGTCCGGAATTTTTCTCGGAAACGGTTTGAGGTAAAGATGTGAAATTTACAGGGGTATTAGATCATGACATTCTCTTTGTTTCGAAGTTGTTTTCGTGTGTTTCCGGTACTTCCTGTCCGAACCGGAAGTGAACTTGTGTTTGGTCAATTTTCAACTTTTTTGTTTTTTAATATTTTTTCAAGATATTATTATGTATAACAGAGGTTATTCTACAAATACTAAATATATAATTTGTTTTGAAATCAGATTCCACATTTTGCAGATTTTCGGTACCCTCATTTTCCCTATTTACCTAGTTGTAGACAATGGGCAAAGAAAGATAACTCTGACTTGTAAGTGAGAATAGAACTTTCGAGATAAAGGCGGAAATAGTATCGATGACGTCAGAGACATATACACTCTCCATATCAAAATATTTCTAAAGACGTTCTATATCCACTCTTCAAAATTTAAGAGTACGTTGGTTACCGCTTCAAGTGCATGTAAAGTTTGAAGTTGCCAGTGTAGTGTAAGTCTGTATTGACAGTTAATTGATTTACACATGAATATATCTAAAAAAAATTAATACATATGCTAGGTAGCTAATTCAAGTAAATATATTATAAGCACTGAATATACATTTATAGTGATGGACAGGCATGCAGTTTATCTATTTCGTATATTAAGTTCAGAATACGATAGTTATAAGCCTTCTATAATGCAGACGATTTATTATTCTCTATGATTTGAATGCGAAATTATCCCGATTTCCGAGTTTTACTTTCGATATTAAAAAATATTACACTCAAAAAAGGAATTAAGCGATAGAAAATTGTAATACAGTACTGTTTTAAAGCCTTTATAAATAAATTGATATCTGCCACTGAAAAGAAAGAAAATCAATCTATAGATTAGATTTGGTTATTACATGTATATTTGATAAAAGGTTAAATTATTTATGACACATGATCTATACTCTATATACCCAAGGACTAAAAAAGTTGTGAAAAGGCGATTCTTGGATTCTTGTGAAATACTCAAAGAGTTAAAGAGTGTGTGAAATAATGGTACGCTATATGTTTCTTTTAAAAAAAAAACATGATAAAAAAATTGTACAGGTCTGTTGATATGTGGGATGAGTATACCTGAATGAACACAATTTTATGCAATGATATTTAATTATGTACATGTAACTGACGTCCGTACTTTTCCTTATAATTCATAAAACATAAAACTATCTAATTCCTTTGAAGCCCCCCCCCCCCCCCGTCTTGATTAATATTTGGAGACGTTCGTGCAGCTAGGCATTTGAATTATATATTCGTTTTAGATTTAAATCTGGAACATGTGAATAACATTACCATTTACATGTATACAGAATTTCATATTCTATAATTATGAAATGTTCAATTTACATGTCTGAGAGAGAG